CTACTCCACAGACTTGAGGACAATGCTGTTAAGGGAGCCCTCCAGTTATTGCTCTTCCTGTAAATAAGAATAATCTATTTTTGATCACTTTGAGGAGGGTGATGTATGAACATCATTTTAAGATCAGCCGCATGCCTCTGTTGAGTCACAACCTCTGACAGACAGACAGTGGGCAGGCAGCTTTGCAATGCCGAAAGTCAATCTTGATCATGTACAAAAGTCGTCGCCCCAGCGCCAGAAGAAATTGCCGCCCGGCACTTGACCCGAGTCTCTTTGTATAAAAACGACGTGTTGCCTAATAATCGCTTCGCCGCCAATGCGCGTGCGTGACACGCTCGCCATGAAAGGGCCAGACTCCACTCGATCCTTCCCAGCACCACCCGCTTCATGAAAAACCCCAAGCGCCCTCGACGCGTCTCAAGTCACTCAACAATTCTCTGTCGAAGGCGTCGTGGGGACACTCAGTGGACTCAAGCGAGTCGCGTTCAAGCCAAGTCCAACCCTCCAGCCAGTCCAGGATGGAGCGTGAGCCCACGTTCATGGAGAATGTGCTTCGTCTCAAGCCCTTGAGTGTCATCCACGCCGAAGAGACAGCCGAGCAGCTTCCACGCCACTTGTCCCTGTTTGATCTCCTTTGCATTGGCATTGGAAGCACAGTGGGCAGCGGAATCTTCTCCACTGCCGGCGAGATCATCAGCAGCACAGCAGGCCCAGCAGCGTTCATTAGCTGGATCATCGCCGGTGTGGTGTGCTGCATCAATGCACTCGCCTTCATGGAGCTGGTGACGCGCATCCCGTCGTCAGGAAGTACTTACGCCTACTCGTTCCACGCTCTCGGTGAACTACCGGCAGTGATTGCTGCGTGGCTGCTAACGCTCGAGTACGGCATCTCCGGTTCGGGTGTGGCCCGAAGCTGGGCCACCAAGGTGCAGGAATGGCTGGTGGAGGAGCACCCGGAGCACTCCTATCAATGGCTTAACGAGGACTACACGAATCTACTCGGTGCTGTGTTGATGGCGCTCTGTGTGTGCGTTCTGCTTGTGGGTCTACGCTTCGGGAAGTGGTTCGTCAACACCATTACCACTATCAAGGTGGCCGTGGTGCTCTTCATCATCATCGCCGGCTTCTGTCTAACAGATTCCAGTAACCTTTCACCCTTCGTCCCTCCACGTCAAGAGGTGGACGGCTCGATGGCGTTCGGCGTTCAGGGTGTTATCACTGGTGCGTCGTCGGCCTTCTTCGGATACGCCGGCTTCGACGAGGTGTGCTGTCTCGCTGCTGAGGCTAGAAACCCCAAGAAGATCATGCCGTTAGCTGTGATTGGCGTGGTGACAGGCACCATGTTCCTATCGGCTTTTGCGTCGTTGGCGCTGTCCGGTATGATCCCGTATCTGGACGCGGCCAGCTTTGGCTCGGGATTTCAATACCAGGGTCAACACTGGGCCGCTCAGATCGTGCGTGCTGGTGAAACGTGTACTATGCCCGTGGTGGTGCTTGTGTGCTTTCTTGCCCAGCCACGTCTGAACTACGCGTTGTCCTGTGATGGTCTAATGCCGCGCATTTTCTCCAAGGTGGACGAGAAGGGCAACTTGTTCGAGAACACGCTCATCTCGGGCGCTTTCTTCACTGCTGTGGCCTTCGTGGTGCCGTTTGATACGCTCTGGGACATCGTGAGCTTCGGAATGCTGCTCTCCTTCAACATGTCCATGGCGTCGCTGCTTATGGTGCGAATGCGCGAGGACTCACCCAGATTGGCGCCCAGACTCATTACCGTCATGGTGGCGTCCGCTTGTTTAGCGGCCTTCTTGTATCAAATCGGCTATTCGAACGAGGGCCACGTGTGGTGTATCGTTTTGAGTATTATCTTCCTCGTGGTCACGATCGCCTCGTGCTTGGCGATGTATTTCAAGTGCCCGCAGGCGCTGCAGAACGGTGACAACTTCACGGCTCCTCTTGTGCCGTTCCTTCCTACCGTTGCAGTGCTGGCAAACTTCTACTTGGCTGCTCAACTCAGCTACACGGGCATCTACACGAGCTTCGCGTGGCTGGCAGCTAGCGTGGTTTTCTACTTCTGCTACGGCTACAAACACTCCGCTGGTCGTACCGGATGGAGTGCATTAATGAGCCTACCGCGCGAATCCTCGCTGCGTTCGCCTATGATTTCTCCCAACAAGAAGCAGCTCCAAGAGTAGATCCATTAAAGAGAAATACACATATACTACCACACATAGGTTAACACTATTGTCCGTCTGGTATTCAGTATCCTCTGGTGAGAAAGACGGCAATTGTCAAAACTAAGTCACCCATACCACGTCGATGGATCCCGCGCGATCACCTGGAGCTCAATTGCCACAGCGTCAGCGCTTTATGGAGTTTGTACAGACAGCATCGACTTGTGATGCGCTGTGTCAACGGGAAAACGCTGCGTTGCGAGCGCAAGTGCACGATCTCAGCGAACTGCTGGCGGCTTTTGATCTCTGCGAGATCGAGGACGCACACTTGAGCGCCGTGCGAGATCGTGCATTTAGCCGCGACATCACACCAGACGCAGAGCTGCTGCAAGTGTATCGCGTGGAGCGCCAGCTACAGCAAGCAGCGGTTCTCAATGACCTGGAGCAACCGAGTGCTGCTAATGAACATGAACACGTGAGTGCTGCTTCAGAGCAGGATGAAAGCAGTTCGAACGCTGAGAGTGTTGGTGGATCTCTTCAACTGCGCGTTGAGATTTTGGAGCTAGAGGTGGCAAACTTGCACCTCCGTCACGATCTTCTATTGGAAACGGAGCCGAGATTGAAAACCCCTGCAGCAGTGGAAGAAGTCGAGGGTCACAGCGACACAATGAAGACAATTCAGGAGCACCAGCAGAGGATCACCGAGCTTGAGACGGCGCTAGCAACGGAGCAGGTCAGGAATGCGGAGCTGGAGCAGCAGAACCGCCGCTATCATGAAGCGGAGAAGATACTCGCAGAATATAGCCAAAGCCGTTAGCTTGCAGCTGCCGTGTTAAACTTTACCACAATGTAATCCACTTTGGCGACAAACGTTGCACCTTGTTGTTGAGCTTGTGTGATAGAGATCCGGATCGGACCGAATCGACGACGGCACCGCCAAACGCAAAACTCATCCAATCTCCCAAATGGATGAGCTGTGCACAGACTCACCACCGAAGCCGAAGACTTGAGTCTCAAGTCTCGCCGAAAACCTCTCAACTTGAGAGGTTTTCGGCGAGTTTGCACCGGAGGTGCTTCATTTGCGCCAAAAGCTATGATCTCGACAATGGTTTCGACGCTCCGTCGTACATATAGTTGGTTGGCGCTGTCATTATTGACAATTAGGCAGCAACAATGTTCAATGTCAGATAAGAAGAATGCAAAGTTTATCTTGAGAAGACATCTAAGCTGCACACTACTGTTCTGTCCAAGTGGTGAAAATGTTTAGCATCACATCTCCATTCGTCTACGGTTCGTCTACAATCTGCAGATTTCAGCCTGGAAATCTCCATTACGAAACCAGTCTCCTATCGAAATGGGCAAAGCTTCCCAGATCACCAGGATTGAGATTTCGTTGAGGAGGGCGGCATCGAATCCCACGCCCGAGTTCACCCCATGTGTAATCAGCAACGAAGCGATTTCGTTGCGAGTGGTTCGCCCCAACGAGTGTTTCACCCCAACGAGCATTCCGCGGGCCACAGGGATGCTCCACCACGTTATTAATTAATACCACTTGAGCAGCATGTTCCGGTACATGTACATCACCGTCCTTCGTTTACATTCTATCCTGGCAAAAGTGAGGATCGCTGCCACCAAGGCACGGATATTTCTATCTGTGCAAGTGTTGGTGTAAATGCAGCATTGCAGATCGCGGTAACGGAGCGTTCAAGCTGGTGTTGTCGGTGTACTGTGAGCAGCCCACATGACCACCAAAGCCTTTCTCTTGGTAGACATGCGGTGATCAAAGACGCGTCCTGTTCATCCCAACGCTGTGCGCGACTGGCCCGATTCTGAAAAGCCAACTTGCATTGCTTCAATGCGAGCGTCTCACCCTTGTAGGGTTCCTCCAGCTGCAAATTACAATATGTACATACAAACCGAAAGGTAAAGACAAGTGGTATCTTGATCGTGCAAAACGAGCTGCTTGTCAGAGCCGGACGAAGGTCCGTTGGCTGGTTTAGCGACTGGTGCAGCCGCTACGTCTTGGCCTCCGACTTTCGTGTCATTCCTCGATTCGCATCAGAGCCGCCGTATTCACGCTCCAGACACGAGACACAGAAGCTCTTCCAGGCCCTCAATTCGAACTGTTCAGTCAAGACATTGACCATGGAGCACAAACCGACGTTCATGGAAAACATCCTGCGCACCAAGCCGCTGCAGGTGATCAAAGCTGAGGAGGCAGCTGAGGAACTCCCACGTCAGATGAACTTGTTCGATCTCCTGTGTATCGGTATTTCTGCCAGTGTGGGCAGCGGCATCTTCTCCACGACTGGCGAGATTATCAGCGGCACTGCGGGTCCTGCTGCCTTTGTGAGCTGGATCATCGCCGGTATCGTGTGCAGCATCAACGCTCTGGCCTACATGGAAATGGTGACTCAAGTGCCGTCGTCAGGTAGTACCTACGCGTACTCGTTCTACGCTCTTGGTGAGCTACCGGCCGTGGTCGCAGCTTGGTTGGTCTCGCTCGAATACGGTGTCTCTGGATCTGGTGTGGCTCGCAGTTGGGCCACCAAAGTGCAGGAGTGGCTGGAAGAGGAACATCCGACACACTCTTACCAATGGATGAACGAGGACTACACGAATCTGCTGGGTGCTGTGTTGATGGCACTGTGCGTCGCTGTGCTTCTCTTGGGTATTCGCTTCAGCAAGTGGTTCATCAACATCTTCACGACGGTCAAAGTCTTCGTGGTGCTCTTCATCATCGTCGCTGGGTTCGCCTACATTGACGTCGATAATCTTTCGCCGTTTGTTCCTGATCGTCAAAGTGTTGACGGTGCAATGGCTTTCGGAGCCCAAGGAATCATCACTGGAGCATCGTCAGCTTTCTTCGGATACGTTGGTTTCGATGAGGTGTGTTGTCTGGCTGCAGAGGCCAAGAACCCCAAGAAGACTATGCCACTGGCTGTCATCGGCACCGTCTTCGGGATCATGTTCCTGTCGTCTTTCGCTTCACTAGCTTTGTCCGGCCTGGTTCCGTATGATAAGGCGACGAGCTTTGGCGCTGGGTTCGACTACGCCGGTCAGAACTGGGCTGCTCAGATCGTCCGTGCCGGTGAGACGTGCACTATGCCATTGGTGGTACTAGTGAGTTTCCTGGCCCAACCGCGCTTGAACTACGCTCTGTCGTGCGATGGTCTGATGCCTCGCATCTTCGCTAAGGTCGACGAGAACGGCAATTTGTTCCAGAACACACTCATCACTGGCGTCTTGTTCACCGTTGTCGCCTTCCTCGTGCCCTTCAATACTCTATGGGACGTCGTGAGCTTCGGTATTCTTCTGTCCTTCAACATGACCAACTCGTCGCTGCTTATGATCCGCATGCGTCGGCAATCACCTTCTCTGGCGCCCAAGCTCATTGGTCTCATGGTGGGCTCAGCGTGGCTAGCAGCTTTCTTCTACCAGATCGGCTACTCGAACGAAGGTCACGTGTGGTGTCTCGTCTTGGGAATTATCTTCCTCGTGGTCACGATCATCGCGTGTTTCGCCATGTACTTCAAATGTCCTCAGGATAATCCAGGAGCCGACTGCTTTGCATCTCCATTCGTGCCTTTCATCCCCACGATTTCAGTGCTGGCCAACTTCTACCTGGCTGCGCAGATCAACTACACGGGCATTTACGCCAGCATCGCTTGGTTGGCAGCTAGTGTGGTCTTCTACTTCAGCTACGGTTACAAGCACTCTGCTGGCCGCAGTGGCTGGAGTTCGCTGCTGAACTTGCCACGCAATTCCACACTGCGCTCGCCCATGATCTCGACTGCCGACAAGAAGCAGCTCCAGGAGTAGAAGTTGAATTTTGTTAATCGTACGAATACACGCACAATACCAGGAACATCTTGCGAGTATTAATCAGCTTCAGCCGTTGCAGCCAGCACTGCCATTTGGGCCTGTGTGGCCTCTGCGGCTGAACGGAGCTCGGCGTAGAGATCCATGTTAGCCTCATCATTGGGTTTGAGCAACTCGAGCACACGTTCCACGAGCGTCTGCGTGACAGCAGCGGGTACATCAGGTGAAGCCGCGACGTGACGGTGGAGAACGCTCATCAAGGTGACACAATTGGCGACGAGCTGCATCGTCTCCGGCAACACACTTCCGAGCTGCACTTCGCTAGCTGGAGTGCTTTGGCTTCCCAATTCTTTGTCATCGTTGACGACTTGCAGTACAGACTCTGCAACCACGGCAGTCGCTTTTTGCTGACTCGCAGCCAAGAAATCGATGGCCCAGCGCATTTGATCCTCTGGTAACGTCTCGGTCGGCAAAGTGCTAGAATCAGAGCTCAACGCCAGTGTATCCGGAGAGTAACCAGGAGCCATAACGGAGCCTCTTGCCTCAGGAGGGTTGCTAGCTGAAAAAGACTGGAGATTCAGCAAAGCAGCCTTCAAATGCGTGTTGGTAGCTTCCAGATTCGCAGCAAGCCAGGAGTGCTGCTTCCGCAATTGATCTTTCTCGCGTGGGTCACTCCACACCAGATCCTTCACTGCTGCGGATGAGAATGCCGTCGGAGTTGTCCACAGACTGGACTTCATAGCATTCTTCTCATGTAGACGCATTTGCTGCTCAGCGACGCGCTCGTTCAAGGTCGATAGAGCTGAAATGATCTTCTCCTTGCGTTGCAATAGACTCTTCACGGTCAGTACGACGCGAATCTTCTCTTCACGATACCGATCGCCAACTGCACCAGAAGCTTTCTGTGTAGAAAGTGATGAAACATTCCCACGGACGCCATTTTCACGTCGAAGTAGCGTGGTTGCAGCTAGTTTTGACTCTACGTTGCTGGTTTCACTCCGCCTTGACCACGGAGGGAAATCCAACACCATCACACTCTCCAAACGAAATGGCACAGACTCTATCCGGGAAATACTGCCGCAGAAAAACACCTGGCAGGTGCATTCCGTCATTCGAAGTGCAGCAACTGTTGCCAGTCGAAAACGCCGCTCCGATTCCACCCATACTATTAAATCAAGCACAATAAGGACGTGTAAGTTTTTTTGTCTACAGCACGACAAACCAGGAAACACTGCAATATGTACTTATCACCGGAGTCCCAAGGCGCAATGGAGTGGGGCATCGGTACGGCCATCTCCTGTCATTTGGCTAGTACCACACACAAGCAGCAGCACAAGCACGTCAGCAATTAACCCACCCGATATATCCATTCCTCTCTGCACTTACCAATTGCGCAGGATCAAGTTGGCGTTTCACTGCGCGATACGACTCGAGTTTCTCCTTCTCTTGAGAAAAGAACAAGGGGCTGAGGCGTCTTGGACGCCCCATAGACGCCCGCACGGACGACCAGATCGGCCGTGCTGCTGCAGTAATCTATCCACACCTCACACTCCTCATCAGGATGCAAAGTCTCCCTCCATTCAATCATCAAGCCTACCTTTCCGAGCCCCATGCCACCGAGACATTCAATGAACTCGTTGTGTCGAAAGAAGTCCACGTCGATATACGAGTAAAACCAGTGATACCAGGGCAAATCGAACCTCGCTCCATGAAGATTCCCCAGCCCAGTATCATCAGTCTCATCCTTCCGAGGCAGCCAGGCTCTACCCTTCTTAGGTCGGGTACTCTTTCTCCCTCCTCGCTTCTGTTGTTTCCTCTCTTCTCTCTCCTCTTCTCTCTTGGTCTGGATATGAAGTGTAGCCAACTGATCCGTGGCCAGGAGCTTCTCCAGCCTCCGTTTCTTCCTGCTCCGAGCCACAGGTTCCTGTCCGTCTCCGGTCTCCTGTTTGACATCCATGATGACGTCTCCATCCACATCAAGACTCTTATTGGCTGATGTACAGGTCGTGTGCTGCTGCATCTCGCCCTGCGTCTCGTAGCGGTCCATCATGATAGCGCAGAAGCCCTCGGCTGACGCCTCAGGCAGTGACAAGTACCCGCGGTGCATGTCGAATAAGGCACGCACCATAGCCTCGGATCGAAGCGGCAGACGCTCAACGAGCTTATCCCACTGCCGCCCGTGCGCCTTGAGCAGGATGTAGAACGTGCGCAGCTCCTTGAGCGACCAGCGCGGGCCCAGAGACTGCATGGTTGGATGCGGAATCAATTATCACGATAGAGGGATAGTGAGAAATTTGTATTGGGACATTTAAATTTTGAATTTGAATTTTGATGTTGAAGCTTGAGGTGCGTCATGTGCCCTCGATGTTGGCGACGGCGCACTCACAGAGCAGCAAGAGACCTGGTTGTGTGGCCACCTCGGGGTTGTTGTAGATCAGTTTGACTTGGCGAGATGCACCGAGACGGGTCAGGGGCACGCGATTCGACTCTGTAATTGGGTGGAAACAAGTGAGCCTTGCTGCCTGGAGTGTGAGGAATGATGGACTGCGTACCGACTGCGGCGATGAGCTCCAGTAATTTTACTGCTTGTTCGACGCCTGCCCAGAAGCTTTTGCGATTGGCTTTGCCAGTGTCCGCAATTTGAGCGACATCCACGCTGCGCAGAATGTCCAGCGCCAATTGATGTGCACTCGACTGCACGAGCTGCTTCGCTCGAGTCTTGTCGACCTCTAGAATCAATTGGACGCGTTAGTTTCCTAGGAAAATATCTCTAAGAGGAGGAATCGATTCCTGCACCTGCCAGGTCTCCGGTGACCGTCACGACTCGACAAAGCAACATGCACGTGATGTACTGTAAGGCCCACGGATCGACACTATCAGCGTGTCGAGGCTCTTGTCTGCGGCGGATCATTGCACTAACGACTACCCCAGGGCCCGCACAATTGCAAAACGTCTCCTTTGCAACATCTACAGCATCCAAAGAGGTAGTAGTGTCACTGAGGAACGAGGAAGCCCTCACAGCGTCCTTACCATTCTCGCGAATGCAAATTTCCAAGAACTTGGTGATGTTCCAATGCACCATGAAACTCGCTGCACCGCGGTAGTTTTGCATGAGAGAACTATTGTCTAGCAACTCAACCGCTAGCTGCAGCACCCCAGCATCGACCACATCATCGGACAGACCAGCTTTCGATTCGCAGAAAAAGATACAATGAGCGATCGGTTTTGCCTCCCAATGTAACTGGAATGTGACGTACGCTCCGTAGTGATGAGCTGGAAAAGCGTCTGAAAGACACAGCTGACAACACGCAACGACTCTGCGAGTGTGTTCAGTAGCGTGGAGAGTCTGGACAAGATACGGAAAGTGTGGATCACAAACACACCATTGGCGTCTGAATACACGACACATCGAAGAGCGAGCAATCAGTTTGAATTTCTGAGATCAGCGGCAAAATCATACCGTTCTCATAGACGAGTGCTGAAATAGCGGTACAGCCTGCTGCTGCCTCGTGTTCAGAGAGATCAGCACAGTCCAAACGCTCGCAAATGGCAGTAACTAGCCCTGCGTCTGCGATGGCTGCCTGGTTATCGGCTGAGAAACAATGCCAAGAGTCAACTCCACCATGATTGGGTTGAAAGAAGGTCATTTAAGTGATTGGCGTACCATGAGGAGCAGCTATCGTGTCAAAACACAATAGTGCTACCAATGTACAGACCTCGATGTACAGCTGCCGCGCCTGGGGGTGAGCCTGAAGGCCTTTGATCATGAGACCAACAGCGCCAGCCTCCGTAATTTTGGATTGGATATCAAGTTCCGTGGGTCCTGATGCATCGACAGCAACAAGGCAGGTCAACAACCCAAAGAGATTCGAACACCTATCGTGTCGCGCGCTTTACGTTTGTGCGATATGAGGCGCTGGAAAAAGCGGCAGCAGTCCGACACCACCGCTCCTTGTTCTTCTTGCACATGAATCGTCACAATCTCCACGAGCATAGGCAGTAGCCGTCCCTCTTCCACCATGGTGTGCCGCACAGCGTTGCGGTGCAGAACCAACCGCCTGAACTCGGCGCATGCTCGGCGGACAGCATACGGGTCCGACCTATTCGTGCCTTCTTCGAGGACAGCCAGCACGCTGCGATAGTCTTCGCGGTAGAACTGCATGGAATTGTTGCGATGCTGTCGTCGGAGGAAGAGATGGCTGCGAACGTTCAGCGACTAACGTTTTCGCTGTTTCACCACGAAGCGACGGGCTCACGGGCGACGGCCGGGCTTCGAGACGGCGGGCTCCCTTAACAATGGTTCATATCACTGCTGTCGCAGCAGTAGCCTTGATTGCATGTCGCTTTCCGCCGATCTCCATCAGCTCTCGCTGAGCGCTCCGCCGCGGGCTAAGAAATGCTGAAGATGCTGCACAGCACATTGGAGTTCATACTAGCCGTTGAGGTTTATACTGGAGAAAGTAATAAATAGAAGTAGCAATCGATAATGGAATAACACTGCTACCAAGTTTAAAAGTGGTACAGTACAGTGTTATCTTCAATAAATATAAAGTGTACAGAAATGCATTTCAGAGGTTGATCGATTGTCAGAGACTTTGATCGTTTTTGTAACCCACAAACCGATTATCGGATATGCAAGGGTATTTTGAAGATACCGGTTGACATGTAGCACTGTAATTGCACAGTGAAATATGATCAGCAGTGACCTCTCGCTAGAAAAGGTGCATAGTACTTAAAGTACTACTTGAAGTTGTAGGATAGTACTTTCAAATTATTCAGGACGAAACGCTCGAACTGGCCCTATATGATAGCGATCTTTCGAGCGCTGGGTGATTTACAAGTGCCTCTTCCAAGCGCCAGAAACGGCTCCCAACAACGGACAGAATATAGTTTCACCCAGAGAAAGATCCACGTCTCGCCCAGATCCGCATTCGCCTCAGAAGTCCCAACAACGCAAGAGAAAATGGGCAAACCGAACAAGATGGAAGGCCGCGTGAGTGGCACGGGCTCCACGTACGAGCGTCGTGCCTGGACGCGCAAGGAAGACGATGCTATTATCCGTCTCGTGGAGGAGTACGGCACCAAGCGCTGGTCGGTCATTTCCGACCACCTCAATGGGGAGAACCACGGCACCGAGCGTACTGGCAAGCAGTGTCGCACACGGTGGCTTAATCACCTGGATCCTACAATCAAGAAGGACCCCTGGACCGCTGAAGAGGAACAGATTATCGAGGACGCGCAGACGCGTCTCGGCAACAAGTGGGCCGAGATCTCCAAGCTGCTACCTGGCAGGTAATAAGAAATTGTTCTAAAATCTAGGTTTTAGACTTTAGAAGTTGAAGTACTAATCAGTGTTTTCTTGGCTTCAGGACGGATAATGCCATCAAGAACCACTGGTACTCGTCCATGAGACGCACGATGCGCCGCATGGCGAAGCAGCAGAACAAAACGTTGGGCCAAGTGGCGCGAAGCGGTGTAGGAAGCAACAAAGCCGCCAAATTTGGTCCCAATTCGTCACCCGGCTCTATGGTGGAGCTGGCACGGGACGCCATGAACGCTGGTCGTCAAGGCATGTCGTCGACGCAGGCTGCAGTGTACAAAGACTGCTACAACGCCCTGATCAAACAGGCAGAAGACGGAAAAGGACGTCAAAATCAGAAAAATGCCGGCAAAAAACTCAACTCGAAGCGGAAACGCAAAGATCTGCGCATCTGCACAGGCAGTGAGAGCAGCGGCATGTTCTTGCCGGATACGCCTCGGCGTGTCCTACACACGCAGCTGCTGCTACAGCTCTTGAACAACGGGGAGGAAGATTTTGGTACATTCATCACGGTTGCCAGCACAACAAATAAGAACAAGAAGCGCAACGTTCAGGGAAAGAAGAACGGAGCAAATGCAGCTGGAGTCGAGCTAGCAGGTGACCATGCATTTACCGATATGGACGGCTTCCACTCCTTCGAACATCTCGACATTGACTTTAACGAGGTGAGTTGCTCTTTTTAAAGGTGATTTATGTGACTTGCGCTAATTGTATTTCTATGTGTGACGCTAGCAGCAAGTGGCCGAGTTCTTTAACATGCCCACGCCTCAGGGACTGCAGCCTCCGCATAGTTTGCGTCGATCTCCGCGCTTCATGTCGCCTGCAGGTTTCATGAAGGCTGACGGAACAAAGTTTTCCTTTGATGACCTCGACTTCCCTACCGAACTGGACTCCAATACTCTTGAATTCGTGAGTGACCCGGGCTACGAATATCTTGTTTAATTCTTACTGACATTTGCATGTACCACAGGAGATTTCAAGTGAAAACGGTGGAATTCTTCGTCGCTCGCCTCGACTTCGCACGGATGTGTCGGTAGCTTTCCCTCACGCAAATGCGTCAACTTTCGGAATCGGCCGTCAGCCATCACCGCACAAACGCTTGGCACCACCAACGATCGATGTCGCTCTGCAGCAGGAGACGTTTGACTTCGATCACTCCATCACGCCGACGCTCAAGAGCCCCCAGCTGAGGCAATGGCTTGATGGATCACCAAAGAACTTTGTTGCGTCCGTCTAAGCAATGTCGCGTCAGCAAATTCTATCCCCATACCCACCGCGGTCTTCGACAAACCGATTCAAGGAAACGCGACTGGAGGTGCCTTGTCGGCCTTATTGAGTTCTATTTCCTGTATAATGAACTGCATTGAGAACGGCGGCTGGAACTGGGCTTTAATGGAAGCATGAACATCGTAGTATTAGATAGTAACACGGGTATTTCGCGATGAGAAGCGTATTCCCCATTAACACTCCTGCGCCTCAGTTAATGCCCACCGTCACCAATACAAAAAGTAAAACTGACTCATTCTCGCTCCAACGAAAAAAAGATCTGAATCACTCGAAAACTTGAGATCCATACAAGTTGGCGTTCATACTGGTGGGTCACGTTTTCGCGGATCTCCAGCTCCGACCATCGTAAGTTCACTTTGGATTCGATCAATGCCAGATTTACTTCCCTCTCCAGCTTTCTTTTCGGGTAGTTTAATGATAACAGTGTCTTCATCACGACGGAATTGGAGATGTCCAAGGAATTCGAGTGACTGCGCTTCCATCCCCGTTGACTCCAAGTGATACTTCTTCATTAAATCTTCCGAGAAATCAAACTGAAACTCTTCCACACGCTCGGCGTCATAGATCTGTACGCGCAGATTTTCATTCCCGTCTTCAAGTGGCCGAATGAAAGCAGATACGATGACGTAACTCCCACACGGGAGCTTCGCTCCTTTCTTCAGTAGTAAACGCATCGGCTCCACCGGTGGCTTCACTTCACCCAGATTACTGCTACTGGGTCGCACTGGGGTTGCAACAACGAAATCGGACCATTGGAACTTGATACGCATGGGTGCGTAATTGAACCGAGGAATTTGACGCAGTGCCAGGTTTTTAGAATGGATTTCTTGCGTCAACGTTTTACGCTTTCCAATTATTTTGCTCTGGACTCGCTCATCTGGATCATCCAAATCAATATGCCGGCGATTTGGATCGATGGTAAGAATGCTTTGATCAAGTAGTGAACAAATGTGGCCTTGTTCGTGTCGAGCATCATAAGCCAATAGTGTGGTATCACTCGAGGTGAATCTGGCCATCTCAGTCGGGAATGCAAGCAGATCAGGAAGGGTACGTCGAGATATGCGTCTTCTGCTGGCCCTCCGTTTGGCTGAACTCTCGACAGCTTCTTTTGCACAAGCTTTGTCGTTAGGAGCTTGCCATAGTAATACTGACCGCCGAGGTACGTTGAGACGATCAGGTTGCTCTTCTATCGTGGTAATGTCAAAGCGAACTGATCGGGCGTGTTTCGGGGTATATCTTCGCTCTACTATTGATTCATCGACAGGATGTGGTCTGGAGTTGGCATCATTGGCAGCAACAACTGCATTCACAAGACTTTCCATAGTAAGACAAATAACATGCTTGCCATCTTCAAGTGACGAACCAAAACGAGTCGCAGCGTAAAGTTCAATCTCATCGTGTTTGTCAGTATCCTCCATCTTTGTATCTAGAGATTCGCTAGCTTCAACCTCCTGGTCAGGTGTCTTGGACTCGTTTAAGTTCTCTTTCTCGACTTGACAGCAGTTTTCAACTGCATCAACCAAACCTTGCATCGTCGACGCGACAATGCTGGTAGTGGTGAACAAGAACTCTTCCACTACCAACGCCTCGTTAGGTGCAGAGCTGGAAGGCAGTGCAGCGACGTCTGATACAATAGCATCATCGTTCAATTGAGTGGAGCCGTCGTCCAAAGCCAAAGTATTTGGGTCATTGTCAGCTGTTGGTTGTGGTTGTTGCTGTTGGACTTCACTGACCGCAGGTTCCAGGATCGGCGCACTGGAGTCGTCAGGTGTGGGCTCACTCTCATCTTGATCGGTATCGGGGGTAACTTCGATCTCCAATTCGGCCGTACAAGGGTCCTCGATTCTGTTGTTTTCTTCTATCGCCTCCACATCGGCTACTCGTTCGCAAGAATTGGACAGTCTGCTGAGCGCTACTGCGATGGCCTGGGAAGCAAAAAGGCTGGCCACGCCTGAAACAATCTCCTGTGTTGCAAATTCATCACAAATCGAGGCTTTTGGCCTCTCAATGTCAAGTGCTACAGGTGTTTCCACAGCATTGCTATGCTCACTCGTGGAATCAATTGCAGCGTTTTCCACTGCTTCCACGCAGTCCTGAATGATCTGAGAGATTTCCGACTCGTCGTTTGTACGGTCTGACTCCTCAATGCTGTTTGCTTCCACAACGTGAGGTTCCTCGACCTCAGCTTTCATTCCCGATAAGACTTCAGACTCGCTGGTACGTGCATCCGACTCATTCTGCTCGATCGACGTCATTTCGTTAATAGACTCCGGTCCCAACTCGTCGCATCCATGCTCATCGACCACGTTCGTATCATCAAAGCTATCGTTTTGCTGCGGGCGCACGACTGAAGATAGTGCCTCAACTGAGTCTACGAGGTCTATAACAATCGTCAGAATATCACCAACATCGTTCACGACATCCTGAATACAACCGTCGGTGGTGATTTGTTCCAAAGGCATGGCACCTGCATCTCCGCTTTGCTCGGGTGAGGAACCAACTTCTTGCTCTCTAACACGTGGTTCCTGCCCAATAATCTCGGTCGATGCTGATACATCCTCAGTCTGTGGTGTGTTGTCAGGAACTGCAGTTGCGTAGTTTAAAGATTCCACGACTTCGTCATTGACTAAAGGAACGCTCACTATTGGATGTGAATCTTCCATTGCGTTAGTGGCGGAATCATCGATGCCATTTGTCGACGTAGGAACACTGATATCTACCGCCACAACTTCAACAGTATTCGCACTCGTGTTCGCATCTGCAACTTCATCGATCTCCTGGTTTCCACGGATTGAAGGAGCATGGTCAAGTATCTCCATAAGATCATTCACAAAGTTCGTAGCGCAAGCCTTCGCGACAGCAGCCGCTACCTGGACGTCCTTTTTTGCTTCAACAATGCTTTCCGTGGCACCAGCATCGGTCTCAGAGCTCGCTAGTACACCACAATCGTCTGGTTCGCCATCAACGGGAGAGTTTGTATCTGGTTTTGCCAGAGTATCGATCGATGGGGTGGTACCGTCTTCCACCTCGGCGTTCAAAACTGGAGGAGACAATTCCTCTTTTGCCGAGGGAACTTCATCTGTATTGTCTTCTGCATCTAAAATACCAATCACCTGGATGACAGCATCTTCTATCACATCTGCAACATTAGGCAGCTCCTCTTCCCTCTCTGAAGCATCACTGCTTTTCTGAATAGAGATAACCCTCGAAAGTGCAGTGCATTCCGCAAGATCAACGAGCACTTTAGCCACACAAGCTTCTGGTGTTTCTGATGGAAGAAGGTCCAGGGTAGACGCTGGGTCAGCTAGTTCCGTAATGTCAGCGTTGTCAGGCACACCATCCGAGACATCCTCTCTGCTATCCTGATGCGATGAAACACACTCCACAATCTCAATCAGTGCTTCGGCCACGCTGTCTGCTGAATCAAGGGGCGACATCTTGAGCATCTCAGGAGGAATAGACGATGAGGCTACGTTTTCTTCTTGCAACAATCTCGACACTTCAGTTTGTGATCCTATCGGCTCCATTGTCTCTGTAATTTCGCTTGGTTTTTTCACGGGTAGAATACGAATCTCTTGAGTCTCGATCGAAGGAGCATCATCAAGCTTAGCGTTTTCAACCGAAGAATCTGCTACGTCCAGTATGCCCGGGTTTTCAGCGTCGACTTTATTGTCCGCATGGTCGGTAATCTCCATTTCTACGCTTGTTTTCCCTTCACTTTCCAGTGGATTTGGTTCTTCGCCAGGTAAATCATTGGCAGCGACTTCAGGCCTGCCATCAGACTCACTGACGATTGATTGGTCATGCCTCATTGGTTCTGTTTCCAATTCGGAGCTGTACACATCTCTACTCTGTTCGTAGGCTGTGGTGGCCATGTCGCGACCTTCCACGTTATCCGCGATCTCTGCAGCTGCTTCTGATGAAGGTAGTTCTTCGTCAGCATTCACAACAGCTAACTCGTCTTCTCCGTCATCGATTCTTAGATCAAGAATTTGACTGGCATCCTCCAACACGGCACCGATATCAGGTTCACCCACAATAGCTTCTTCTTCCATGGCAATGTTTGAGTTGATGCTTGTGTCCCCTTCAGTGGTGTCAAGAGAAGGTAAATCGCTTGCCTCGCGAGTTTTAGTTTTGTCTGCATACTCAGATGCGTTTTCGTGTTCCAAGTAGTCGGAAGAAGCCTCAGTATCCAGACCGTGATCAGTGGTTTCTTCAGTCGAGGTGACGGGCTCAGCAGAAAGATGTCGAGAAGTACACGGCTCCTCTATGGGTGACGAATCCTCGAAACTTTCAGTGACGGCAGCTGTGATATCCTCTGGTTGAAAATTGTATTCATCAAATTTCGCGTCATTTGTGATAGAATCATTGACCAACTCGCTGAGTTCTTGAGTGCTTACCTTTTCATCAATCGGCGTACGGGGTTCACTAGCATCACATGATTCCACTATTGGCACTTCTGTCGCGCTGTCATTTCGGATTTCAATCTTGGCGCTTAGAATTTCGCTCGGACCTGACTCGTTCTGTAATGTCTTATCTGATTCTTTCGTGATGAAATCCACTGAACTCGCTGCAGGCGCAATGGTGTCAGAAGGCCATTCTTCATCTGAATTCGGAAACGGAGTCTCTTCAAATAATTCACACGACATCTTGTCATTCGTATCGTTCGTTACTGCATCACTTGAATGATCCTCCGTGTGTTGTTCAAGCTCAGCCTCAGGAGGCACTTCGGCATTTTTTGCATAGAGCTGCAATGGTGCTTCGTTAGCAATATCCTTTGTAGTCTCTATAACTCCACTTTCATGCTGGACATCGGGAAGATGGTTAGCGACACCCTGTGAATCTGGTATGTCATTCGAATTCAGGTCGACACTTTGCTGAACTTCAGCGTTGTATGCATCTGCTGTGACCGCATGTTCCGCTGCCTTAGCTTGTGCTTCAGCTAGTTCTTTGCGTAGCTGTTCGAGTTCGTCCAACAGCGTTTTCTCTCTCGAGCTTGGTCTCGAGTTTTCTGCCTGGTCTTCACGCCTTGGAGTGTCAGCCTTAGATTTCGGCGACGAGACAATGGGAGGCTCATTGCTCTTAACTCCGCTTTGAGGTCTTCTGGACGGGGTTTTAGGTGGAGACATCGGTCTAGCAGGTCTCGATGGCGTCGTAACGAATCCCGTAAGCTGCGTATCGTACAATAAATCTTCACTTCGAGGCTCGACGCCAAACGGATGCAAACTCAAATTCTCCAACGCCGTGACCTCACGCGCCTGCATGAGGCGAGATATAGTTGCCTCAGAGAGCTTGATAATACTCTCTTGTCGCGCTTGATACGCTTGCGAGTGTGCCAGCAGATTCTCAAGCTCCAGGATCCGAGACTGCGTCTCAATATGCTCAGCCTCAACCGTGCTAGTGTTGTCTTTACTACCCAGAATGGCTGTCTTTCGCAGGCTAAGCTCAAGCGGAGACAGCGTCCGATCCTTCTGCAAGAGCCGCACGGACACTTCCAAGTCGTTCACCTTGTCTCGTAGCTTCTGCTTCTCATCCTGATGTCTCTCCAGCTTCAGTTCGTACTCCGTTTTGAGATTTCGCATGGCCTGGTCGTGTGCAGCAGACAGAACTTCCGCCTCCCCTTCCTTCCACTCTCGGAATCGATGTCTGGTGTCCTCAATCACCGCCACAAATCGAGCCTTTTCGTCCTGAGCTTGACGCGCCATCTCCTCCATTTTCCGAGCCTGGAAGTTCATCTGCGCCTTCATCTCAGCTGCGTGGGTACGGAGCTGCGTATTCTCTTCCTGAGCAGCCCGTAATTCTTGATCCACGGTCTCTAATTCAACGACAAACTGACGTTTAGCCGCTTCAACCTCACGGAATAAGTCAACCTGCCGCATTTTCTCCTCCACGACCTGCGCGCGTGTTGCTTTGAGTTCTTTCTGCCAATTGAGCTTCTCCTTGAGTAACTCGCGGAGTTTTTCCTCGCGATTCTCAGCTCGTCGCTCTGCCATCTTGACCTGCTTGCGCGCCAGCTCCAATTCCAGCTCCGTCTTCTCCACTGTACGCTCCATGTCTCGAGAGCGGATGCGTAGTTCAGCGTTCTTGCCCAGTGTTGCACACAGCTCTTTGTCCTGGTCTGTAACGATAGCTCGAGGTGACATTGGGGGTCGTGCTACACGATGCGGGGGCTGTAATGGCGGCGACGGCATGGTTCTCAGCTTCCTGGGTGAATTAGCAGGCGCGACGGGTGATTGAGACACAATGAAGCCAGTTGAAGGCTCATCGAACTCACTTACGGGGATTTGAACGTCCTCTTCTAGTGAAGAATAGTCTGACATGGCTGGATACGTTGACGGCCGTGTTGCTGTGCCAAGAGCAACTCGACTACGGCGCTCGTTCTCCAACTCAGCGTTTAATAAGTTAATCGTGCCGTACATTTGCTCCATATATGCGAGCTGAGCCTGCTCTGTGTCGGACGCATAGAGACCATCTGTTACCGGACGTTGGCGAACCGGTTCCGCTCTCCTTGTTGCTGCCATGGACGCCATCTCGGCACGGCGTGGCGGTGGAGAAAGAGCTTCATTGGTGGACTGGTGGAACTGGTCGTCCATTGGGTCGGACGAAGAGCGAGGCGTCGTCCAGCTACTTCGCTTGGAAGCGCTGGGGGCTGTAGGCAACACTGGGAGAATCCTTTCTCCAGTGCCATATTCTGCGCGTCGAGCTGTTGCTACCGCTTCAGCTGTGCTACCTGGAGGAGGTCGAGAACTTGGAACAGCCATCCTCGCAACACGACTTGGAGGGATGTAGTCGGCATTTCGACCGGCATTAGTCCACGACGATGACCGGTCCATCCTCTGTAAAGAAGCACAGGACTTGCCGGTGGGTTTCCTGAGCTAACGTGAATGCCTTGAGCTGAGATGACATTCTGGGGCGTTACGCACCGGTCGCAACCAGGTTTATTTAGCAAGGCCTCATCGTCGCACTCCAAGTTATCTTTCATTCGTACTTAATGTGAGTATGGCTACATGTACTTTTAGTATCAGATGATCTGATTCAAACCCCGCTCATCTGATTCCCTTTAGAGCGATCAAGGCGATGACGCGGCGGTTAGTAGCAGCGCTGGCTGCTCTGAGTGCGGCTTCTGTGGCTTCCGCAGCGCCGTTCGCGTCCTCTCTAGATGCCTCGTATGTGGTACAGCTGCATGCGACACGTGATGGCTTCAGTCCGCCCGAGGACGGCGTTAAGATGCGCTCACAGCTCATGACGACTGAGTCGGGTCAGCAATTCGAGTGTTTCCTGCCGCCGCTGGCCTCGGAAGTCGATGACGCGGCAGCCGACGCGACAGACTCGCTGACTACTAAGGAAAAGGCGGAGAAGGAGCAGCTCGCCGCCTTCTTAAACTTTGGCCGGGCAGCGGCGCAGAAGGTGAGACCCAAGTGCGTACAATACGTAGACAAGGAGACCGAATGGGTCTACGAGGTCTGCTCGGGCCTGTTAATTCGCCGCGTAAGTCTTAAAACTGCAACTATACAAGAGGAAACGTCAGCGGAAATGCAAGTGAATGCAGTAGGAGAAATATCACCTTCGAAAGGTAAACTCGAAGGTACCGGACATGAAGTGGAGGAACTCGGTGCGTTTGTATCAGACTCCAGTCGCCCGGCACTGAGCTACGACCAGTTCGCCATGCAGGAGACGCAAGATCGAGTGAAAAATCATCGCAAGCCGCTCTTCACGCAGACGTTTGGCAAAGATGAACAGCAGATCCAAGTGCAATTTATCTGCAGCGCCACGTCGCGAGACGATGGCATTTCGGCTGTGAAGTGGAGAGATGATTCGCCGAAAGGAGGACCTCGTGAAGTTGCTGCCTTCCTCGTGGGCTCGAGAGTATTTTGCGACCCGCATCATTCGGACGCAGACGACAACGACTTGTTTACGGTGCGCTCGCTGTTGCAGCCGCTGGAGGACGCTCGGACGTGTGTCACGCGGAATGAAGGCTGGTGGACGTACGAATTCTGCTTCGGGCGCTCACTGAGACAGTACCATAGGGACGGAGACGGTCGTATCACTGCTGAGTTCTCACTGGGCACGTTCGACGCAGCAGGCAACCGAGAGCTGGAGCGTTCAGGCTCGGCGTTGGTCTCGGAGCATATTGACGCAACTCATGATGTGTCGCGTCCCGCTTACTTGGAGCTGTACGACCACGGCACGTTCTGCAAGGAGTTTGAGAGCCATGCACCGCGAAAGGCTAAAGTATTCTACTACTGCAGTCAGGGAGGAACGAGTCATCATATTTTGACAGTCAAGGAGACGCAGACGTGCAGCTACACGGTTAAGGTGTCGTCCCCAGTACTGTGCGATCACCCGCACTTCCTCAACGATGAGCAGAAGAGCGACCAGGAAGCTGAGATTCTGCACTGCATCCCAGTGGCAGAGGCTCCAGTAAAGACAGACGAGTAGAGATAACGTTGATAAAATCATGTTGCAATGGAGAAGGTCGCGTTCCTGGTTACCTTTAGGTACCATGATCTCCCTCGGCGACACAACCGTAGCATTGATGCAGGCCAAAACCACTAAACTCGTGCCGGTGTTGGATGCTACAGGTATCATTGCGGTGGTCCAAGCGCACATCTACCGAGGGCTATTCGGCAGAAGTTATGCAATATATCATGCACACACGATACCATGCACCGGCGTTCATTGCCCTACCGCTTCGACCCGACTCGAGGCTCAAGCGTTGCTGACGTGGTTTCTGATAACGGTCGTCGTTACGTGTGCGGAATAGCGAGGCCAAGTCTCCTTAAAACGGCTGAAGATACCGTCGCGCGATGCCTCCACCAAGCAACCTCCAGCATATCCAAATCTTTCCCTCTACATGAGTGAAGCGGCTCCAGCTCGGGCCTGGTGGTGGACGACGAGCAGGTTCCAGAAGACCAATTTGTGGGCATAAAACCTCGGATTGTGGACTGTAAAACCTCAATTTCGCAATGTTTCTGTACATCTGTACGAAAACTGTGCTTTCGTCGGATCCGCATCGCCACCACCAGCGCTCCACTCGTTTGGCTCATTCCAAAACTTGCCTCGCGCCCGCCGTTCGTTTGTGCCGGTGTTGCCCCTCAAACCTCCGCTCTCCTCCGCCTCCGCGCCGCCTTCGCCCCTCCCGTCGCCGCTGCCCCGTGGATTCGAGTGAAACTAGGAAAGAAAGAAAGAAAGCCCTCCGCTCGCCATTCTTCCTCTCTCTCCTCCTTCCTCGGCCCTCTCCGCCAGCCCAGACACGCCACGTTGTTCATGCTGTTGGTCGACCCGCTTTTTATCAGCAGCGACGACATTGTTGACCCCACCACCATCTTCACGGGCTTCTTCTACATTGGCGCGTGCGACGACCCAGCCTAACAGGCCTACCAACACCAGATCCGACTAGATACCAAGCCCCCCCCCCCCCCCCAATTTGACCTACGCCAATCTTGATCAAGATGGCGCAACCTTTCCCTGAACCTATTAAACTCCACGATGACGAGACCAGCTCGACCCAGTCGGAGGCCTCGGACACCGTACCGAACACCTTCGAGGGTCCCGAGAAGAACCTCGAGATCGACTTCAAGCTCGGTGTCGGCCACGAGCGCGGCTTGCGCGAAGTGCCTCGCAACGACCTGGACGAAATGTTGGAAGCGGGACAGTGCCAGATTCTGTCCCGTACGAGCAACGAGCACATCGACGCCTACGTGTTGTCCGAGAGCTCCATGTTCATCTACGCGCACAAGATTGTGCTCAAGACATGCGGTACCACCACGCTGCTCAAGTGTCTGCCCTACATCAAGACCTTCTCAGAGCGTCTGGGTCTTGAGATCGAGTGGGTCAACTACTCCCGCAAGAACTACACCTTCCCAGAGGAGCAAAAGTATCCGCACACCAGCTTCCAGACGGAGGTGGCGTTCCTCAGCTCGTACTTCCCGGACGGCTCGGCCCACGTACTGGGTCCGTTGAATCACGATCACTGGTACATTTACGCGTGGGACGCTGACATCCATGAACAGCCTGGTGCATTGACGTGCAACCCAGACTTGAAGGAACCCCGTGCCAATGAGAGCACCCTGCAGGTTCTGATGCAGGACATGCACCCGAGTGTGGCCAAGCAATTCTTCAAGAATAACGACAGCACCATGACCTCCCGTCGTATGACGATTGAGAGTGGCATCCGTGACCTGGTGCCCGGTGCAGTGATCGATGACTTTGCCTTCGATCCGTGTGGATACTCGATGAACGGCATCCTGTTTGATGCCTACTACACGATTCACATCACTCCGGAGAGCCACTGCAGCTACGTGAGCTTCGAGACCAACGCGCGTCTCCGCTCATACGCGTCGCTGCTCAAGAACGTGCTGCGTTGCTTCCGTCCGGCCAAGTACTCGGTGAGTGTGTACACGGACCGTAACGCACTGGAGTCTGCTAAGGGCAACAACATGTTCGCGGAGGACATGGTCAAGATCGACGACGACCTGCTGTACAAGCGCAAGGGCGGACACACCCAGGCCACGTTCGAGGGCGACTACATGTGCCGCATGGCCAACTATGCCCAGACGGACAAGCCTGTGCTCAGCCGCGCCGCCCAGAAGATACGCTCTCCTTCTTTCGCTTAGGCGGAGGAAGCGACAGCTGCTAAGGTGGTCATTGCCAAAGTGGCACGAAGTTCTGCCACTTCGCACTCTTCATTTCTCTTTTCCTTTTAGTACCCTTCATTGCAGAAAACAAGACACAAAAAAAATCTACAGTAAGTGTAGCAGTAAATATGATAAGGGTTTGTATAACGTCAACCATGAGACGAGACATGGCTACATATCTTAGTCATCCACTTCAACTTCAGTTTATTTGTGAACTTTGTGGTGACGATGGTCCGACCTCCTCGTGGTCATATTCAGCTTCGTCTTCTTTGCTCTCGTCATCATCATCTGTGTCGGTCTCATTGCCCTCAGGTAGGGATTCCTCGATCCTTGGCATAGTCAACTCATCGAACTGTAGCGACTGCCGCTTTATACTCACGCGACGTAGGTGCTGCAAAGCCGCCATGTAGTCATCGATCGCACCTTCATCCGCTCTCTCGAGGAATGTCTCGCGTAGCTCGTTTTCCAACGCCGCGACGTCCGCGACGTCTGGAATTCCGGTCGCTTGTGCATCGAGCGATTGTTGGACTACTGAGGTGTAGCTAGGAGCCTCGGGAGTGTCGACTAAGCCTTCATCTTCATTAGTACCTGGAAGCGCAGGGTTCACACCGAAGAGTGCGCTAAGTCTTTGAACGTTTTGAATGGCGCGCACAGTCGTCTTGAACTGTAGCTCCTTCCGCCGTAGCCCGGCTATTTGGTCGGCATCGAGATGCTGGTACCGTGATATCTCGCGCATGATCTGTCGATGACACAGCCACGCTGTCTTCGCATCTACGCGACGATCCAGTAGTTGGTCCAGGAAAGCAACACGGAATATAAGTGACTTCGCTGTTGGCGCGTGGGTGATGCTCGTTTGAAGTACTTGGGCGACAGCCTCGCGATCGTGTGCCCACGTTTCGCGCAGTAGTTCGAACTGGTACGCTTCCTCTTGGTCATCTTGTGAGGCTGCTTTAGCAGTACTGTTAGGTTGCTGGGAACTGCCACTGGTGGCGAGGCTAGGTCCACCAGTACTGCTGGCTGCGGCTGCTGCAGCGGCGTTCTTGGCTCTTGCTATACCCGTAGCTGCAGCACTGAGAGGAGCTGGACTAAGCACCCTCTCCAGCAAGATAACGTCCAGGAATCGAGCAAAAGAGATTCTATGTGGCTTTGTGAAGTCGTGAGCTGCCTCAAATACCTTCTGTAGGAATCGGTCATCCACTGTTGGAGATAAATGGGTCACCACGGACGCAAACTCGTCGAACTCGAGGCTACCATCGCCGTTGATGTCACCCGCCTGGTACACAGCTCCAAGCACCTTCTCGAGTAATGCTCGCTGTGACTCGAACTCTTCCACACATAACGTTAGCAGGTCACTTTCAAGAATAAACTCGTCGTCGCGTGGACACGCCTTTGCTCGGATACGCTCTGCTAACGCGTCCATCCCGCGAGCATACACTCCGAAGCGTTCTCGTAGTGCTTCTTGCACTGTCGATATTGCAAACGTGATGCGTATCTTGAATTGTCGCTTTGGTATCTCAATACGGTGCTTGGAACCACCCAAGAAGGTCCCAAGAGACCACCGACTAAGCAAACCCTACAGAATGAAGACATGCATATGTATTATTTGCGCTTCCACAAGAACATTGACGTCACCTTACCAAAACAAACTTGTGTTCGTGGAAACCTAAGGGGTTGTGGACGAAACAACGACAAAAACAACACAAAACGAGTCAAGACCGTTAAAGACAACTCGTGTGAATCGTAGCGAGAAAGATCATGCAAATGTAAGAACAATAAGTGGTGAAATGGATATCTGAATGCCCATGAACCGTAGGCAGCTATTACAGCAAAGTTCAAGGTATATGTGAGCAAAGTTTTAGCATTAACATCAGATAGAACGTAAGACAACGTACAGATGACACTGGAAAACCTTCTTTTCGTGTTTACGCAGAGACTGAATGAGTTTCAGCAGGTGACGTTGTGCAAGTGTCTTGAGCCCGTACTTGCGAATGTGCCAGTCGTAAATGAACTCGCTGAACTCCATACGTCGATTTCCGTACTGTAGCGTCGATACCATGCCCTCGTAGTTGTCACGATAAAGCTAAACCAGCAGCCAATTCAAATCAAACTAGACCATTCCGCAATTTTGAAGTCAACAACTCACCTGATTGACAATGCGCAGAAGAATATCCACGTTAAAAAGATTGACGCCACGCAGCGCTCCAGCATTCTTGATGTTCACCGGGATATCTCCTTTGTTTGCACGAATAGCAGCAACAAAACCGGTATCACCTTCACTTGACACGTTCGGGCTTTCTCCACCTTGCATTGGCACAGTCATTTGGTATTTACTCTCTTGTAGTTGAGCTGCCTTCGCGGACGCACGTCGTAGATTTGTGACGATCCTCATCGCTTCTTCGTCACCTTCAGCAACAGCAGTATCGTCGTCATCACTGTCGTCTCCGCCTTCATCATTTGTTTTTGCTTCGGCTGCAGCAACTCGAATACGTGCCATTTTTGCCTTGACGGCAGATGAAATCAGTTGAGATACGACGTCGAAGTTGTTGGAGCGTGCAAGCGACTGCACCGCAAGAAGTATTGGCACGTCGCGGTCAGCAGCTAATGAGAGTCGACGTTTGCCTCCTCCTGGCGAAACTACAGGGGCTTCAACGAGTGCTCCAGCGTTCTCGAGTTTAGATGCAAGATCCATGATGGTAAGAACGTCGTCACTTGCGCTCACACTGCTCGGTGCTGAATCTTCATTGTCGACGAGTGGAGCCAAACTGCGCACGAACTTGCTGAGCTTGACAAGCAATACACCCATTGCCTCAACATCTTCGCGAACATTGTCGCCGGCTGTGGTTGAGTATACTTCTGGTTTTACTGGCAAAGGAGCAAAAGGTTTCTCGTTCGAAGGCCCAGCTTGCCAGGAGCTAGTGAGATGCTGTGTAGTTCCATAATTACTGACAACTTTAGTCATGCCACCGCCTGCTGTATCGACTCCAGCAGCGCCTAAACTTGTGTCAGCGAGCGCTGCAAAGAGTTTTGCCAGGATGGGCATGCGTCGATATGCGCCAGTGATCGTCTCGGTGCTCATCGTGTGAACACGTGCATCACCCAGCGCAACTAGCATCGATTGTAGTTGATCTAACTTCATCAAGAACTGCTGCTCAACTGAGAGAGGCGTACGTATCGATCCTCGTGGGTTTTGTGTGATAATCTGCTGATCTGGCTGAGGTGGTTGCACTGGTATGACTGCTACGGGAGCAGGTAGCGGTACGTGACGATGATACCCGCTCTTGGATGCATGTTTCCCCTGCCCGTCGAGTGCCTCGAGCAATTGCCAAACTGCATCCATGACATGTACACCCGGTCCGTTCTCCATCTTGATAACCTCAGTGAGATCATTGTGAAGAAGTTCAAGCAACGGCGTGGATTCTCTGTCGACCGGTGTTTTAAGTCGCCTTCGACTGTGATCGCTCCGACGAAAGGAGGTGCGTCTACTGCTCTGATTCTCCTTATCTACACGCTCACTAGGGCCAGACAAAGACAACCGCCCTCGCTCACGTATTGTAAACTTCTGGAGCCGACGCTTGTCGTGCTTTGTATCTCCAAGATTTTCTTTGAATTCATCGTCGTTCTCGTCCGAGCTATCCCCGTCATTTTCATTGCCGTCATAGGCCTCAGTGATGCCGCTGAGATCGACGAATCGAGTGGAACGTCGTCCTCGCTTCCTGGCAGGTCCTCGCGAACCCAGGGGCTTCTCGTCAGTTGTTTCGACCTTGAGTGCTTCTTTCTCCTTCTCATTTTCAGCCGTGTTTGTGGATGAAGCTACTTTCTCATCGACTGTTGCTGGCTCAAGCTGCAGTTTTGCTTCTTGGATCATCTTCTGGAACTGTGGTGATTGTTGAAGAGCTGCCCAGATCTGCATAAACGTCTGAGTGGTGCAGTTGTCAAGAAATATGTGTAGGATGGCACTGGCCTCGTGTTCGTTAGCTTGGCTTGCAATCTGGCAAAAGAATGCCAAGCGTTCCTCGTGAGGTAGTCCCCAAAAGTCTAACAACAGCATGACCGTATTGTCCTGCAAGATACCTACTTCACCCAAAGCCCCAGCTACGACTCCCGGACTGCGGGGTCTTCTGTGTGGAACTCGTCGTCGTAGTGACTCGAGCTCACTTTCTAGTTGCTGACAATACAGGTAGAACGGAACGCGGTCCTTGGGTCGATTGGTTGACGGTGATCGCCGTGTAGACCGTAGCGATGAACTGTCGCTCCAAACGTTAAAATTCAGTCCAAAACCCAGCCCAATACTTGATTGCAATCCAGTGGCATTGTCTTCGTCGCTGTTGTCTTCAGTAAAGTCGTTGGTATCGCGTGCTGGACGTTTAAATAGGAGGGCAATCAATAGATCACGTAGAGATTTGAGCGAGTCAACGTAGCGAAAGAACGCCTTCGGACTGCCCGCACCCCCAACTTCACTTTCTGACAACACGAGCGGGAGGTTGGAGAAGAATGTCTCGAATACTTCCCAGAGCACAGACCCGTCATCTTCTTCATCGTCTTGATGGGGGTCATCAACTACGTTTTTGCTTCTTAGGAACTGCCGCCATCGCACAAAGAATTCCTTCAGCACAGTATCACCGCGATCACTTGTCAGCAACTCCAGTATTCGTCGATCCCGAGATATCACTGCAGACTGTTGTGAGTCAAACTGTTGCAGATAGTCTGGGTGCTTTGCCTCAATGATATCCCGCAAAAGTTGGTGAAGTTGGAAAAGCTCGTGGTGAAAATTGGTCGATATCTGATCACGTAGTGGCGATTGAATTGTGTACGACGGCGATGGATCCATCCGTTGAAGTTTTACCTGACGAGGCGACATTCGCGAACGATGCGGTACCGATACGTGGGGATAACCTGCCAATGCTGCCGATGGTGGGGTTGCGTGATTCATACGCAACGGGGGCGGACCACGAGGGTGAAGCCGCAGCATCGACTCGTTCCCATTAGGTTTCCTTGGCGAAGGTGTTGTTGACATGGTAAAGAGTTAGGATCACTTACCGATTCATCCGAAGCACCAGTAGTGATAAGTAGCGGACAACCTAAAATAAAGAAACTAGAAAGGAATTACGTAGCAGCACCCAGAATAGTAAAGTAGAAATGACGCTTTAAGGTGGGTATCACCGCATCAATGCTGTTCTTACCCCTTAATTACCCTACGAAACGGTGGCGTTTCTCAGTCCTTCTTTGCTTGTTGACTAGCGATCCAGAGTTCAAGCTGCTCGACACACACTATTGCGTCTTGCTTTCAGCGCAACAGGCCATAACCGTATTAAAAGCCACCCGCCGTCTAGTTGCATTCGGTCTTTGTCACGTCTAAAACATGTTAAACCCAGCGCGGTCATTCTTGCCGCGCGGCAGCTCGATCTTCTCCTTGTTCTTGGTAATGACGTCCTCCGTGACGGCGTATTGGTCGCGTACGCCCTCGAGCGCGCGTACCAGGTTGAAGTACCACTTGATGTCGATCTCCACGACGGAAGCAATGGCGTCCTCAGGAGCCTTGGTGCCAGCGTTGCTCTGCTTCTCCACCGTGGCAGTGACGCGCTTTTCCTCGTCGCCGTCCTTGCCGCCCTTCGAGGAGGTGACGGTGGTCGTCGTGCTGGTCTCGGAACTGGCCTTAGCGTTAAGCTTCTCCACAGCCGTAGCACGTACCGAGCTGTAGTCGGCAAAGGAGTCCCACGTCTTCTGCCACTTCTCGAGCGCCTCCTTCAGGTGCACGAACGCGTACTTTTGCACCTCCACGCCGAAATTGTTGCCGTCCTCGACCTTGGGCACTTGTAGTTGGATCCACACCTGCAGTTGCTGAATGGCGCTCATGAGATGCGCCACCTCGTCCCCCACGACCGTCAGCAGCGCCTGCACTTCGCCGTTGGAGCTCACGGCTGCCGGAGCTGCCAGCACCGCCTGCGCGAACTTGGTGCGTAGCTTGGATGGCGAGCGCTCACCGGCGTGCTGCTGCACCAGCTCCTGCACAAGCGCCACGCGACGTGGCAGCTCGTCGAGGAGCGCAGCGCCAGAGGCGGTTACTGTCTTCTTGTATTCACTCATGAAGAATGCTGGTCTGGCTGCCTTTGAGATCTTTTTCAGTTGTGACGTGGAAGCAAAAGTGTGAAGCTGACCAGGTTCACTTGGATTCAGTAATCACATACATTCACCGAGTACAGTGCATGTCAGTCGTCAACACTGCTGTTTACTTGCTTGCCTACCTGCAACAATTTCCACACCTTGGGCAACGACAAAGTTGAGCTGCATCTTGTTAATTTCATAAGCTTAACATAATATCCATAAGTTCCTAAGCAAGACGCGGATTCATTTACGTGGCCGCAGCCACTGCAACTTCCTGCTCGGCGGCGGCGAGGCGGCTTTCAGGGGTCGACAGGTGCAGGCCTGCCACCGCGTTGAGTGCTGCGCTGTCGATTGGCTCTTTGAGGCCGAGAGCCTGGCGCGCCTCCGCCATAAGGAACACGCTGCCACACACCACAACAACCTCATCGTCTGACGAAGCGCGCGACGCAGCCAGCGCGGCGTTCACGCCGTCCTTGATGGTCGAAATGGTCTCATACACACGAGCCTGTTCACCCTCAGCAGTGGCATTTGCCAACGCCACGTTAATCTCCTCAAGTGACGCGCCGCGTGGGTGGTTGGCCTTAACCAAATGGATGCGTTCCTGCAGCTCTTCGTCGCTCTCGTCCAGGTGGGTGTCACGAACCACGTCCGTGATCTTGTCCAGTACCTTGTTGATGGCCTTGTCAGCTGAGAAACCACACACAAACCGGAATTTCTTATCGGGAAGCTGCTTGTGCAACAGTCCAACCAATTTGTCGATGGCCTGCGGGTTATGTGCCACGTCCAGCACCACTGTAACCTTCCGTTCCTTCGAGTTAGGACGCATGAGGTGCAGCACCTGGAAGCGACACGGAGGACGTGACTCCAGTGCGGTGTTAACGCGCTCGTTTGTTAAGTCGACACACAGTTCCTTAGCTCCACCGGCATGAAGTGTATTAAGCTGCACACAGGCTTCGCGTGCGATGGCCGTATTTTCGGCGTTATAGTCTTCGTCAAAGTCCGCCTGGAGGGGTACGCGTACAAGCGGTGCGTTATTCCGCGCCGCGAATTCCATCATAACGTTTACGGGGGTGTTTGGTCCAACCACAACCGGAACGTTCGGTTTGATGATCCCTGCTTTCTCACGTGCAATGGCCTCAACGGTGTTGCCTAGAATGCGCGTGTGGTCGAGACCGATTGACGTGATCACTGATAGTGCTGGTGTTACGATGTTGGTCGAGTCCAGTCGACCACCGAGACCCGTCTCCAGTACGACACAATCTACGCCCTGCTTGGCGAAATGCATGAAGGCCAGCATAGTGGTGATCTCGAAGAACGTGGCCGGGATTCGGAGCTGTGCGCTGATGTTGAAGATCTCGGACAGCGCGTCACACACATCGATTTCAGAGATGAGTTGGCCGTTGACTTGCACGCGCTCGCGGAAGCACGCGACGTGTGGGGACACGAATAGCCCCGTCTTGTGTCCAGAGCGCTCAAGAGCCTTTGCCACCTTGAAGGCCACGGATCCTTTGCCATTAGTGCCTGCAACGTGAATGATCTCAAACTGTGAGGCTGGATCTCCAAAGGCCGCGTTCAGTTTCTGCATGTTCTCGAGTCCGAGCTTAACTGCTGAGAAGCGGTTCACCTGGTACAGTCGTTGCAGCAACATCTCGTAGGTGGCGGAGGTTTCCGCTGCCGCCTTAGCCGTATTTTCATCCTTGGTGCTGCCTCCGTTGCTGTTACGACGGGCCGGCCGCTGCGATATGAAACGCGCGTTGTCTAGCAGCAGCGAGTTGGCGCCTGCGGGGGTCGTGAGAACACCGGAGCTGGTGAGCGATGGCTCGGCGCGCGCGAAAGTGGCGGGCGCCGGCGCGTGACGGAACTGCGCGCGGGATAGCGCCGTGTATGAACGCAGCAGCTGCCAGCGCGCAGTCTCGGAGCTGCGCTGCGACGCTCTCCGCAGCGCCATGGTCGTGTCTGAAGTTAACGGTGAGCTGAGCTGGGGACGTGAGCCCTTGATGGCAAAATCACCAATGTACTGGTGGAGCAATTCTTGTCAGGATGAGGTTGGTACAGCGTACCAAAAAGCAGATGCAACCCTAACCTTTTGCACTTCGGTTTTGACGTGCAAAGAAATACACTTGACATTTGTAAGTGTGCGTCAACAGGGAGACGGGCAGGTAAACGGACAGATTGGATGCTGGGCGATGTCACTAGTCAATACCCGAGAGAGTGACGCATTGTTGCGGCAGAATATGGGCAGGATAACCGAGGTCGCCGCCGCAGAGCCTCTGATGCTCGAGTCGCGCTTTCTACAGAGTACGTACGTGCTTGTTGTTTATCTCCGCGCCTCTAAAGCTGACAATACAGTTTGCTAGATCTGCTGGACGTGGGGGGCGCTGCAATCGCCGATTTACTGCAACGAGCTGCTAATTCGAGAGACGAGGACCTTGTTGAAACGCTGGCGGTAGCCGCCTACGAACGCTGCTGGGAGAAACTGCATTGTGGCAGCTGGAAGGACGTGCTTCCAGTGTGGCGCCAAGCGTTTGGGCTTGCCAGTGTGCTGCAAGCGCGCTGCCTACAGTGCCGCAAACAGTCAGCAGAGTGCCTGAAATTGCTCGACATGGTGCGTTTTAATGGATGAAAGCTATGATTTTAGGCTTATCTCTTAGCTGTTGATGATACTGATCTGATGCTGTTGCTATTGTCGTAGTGTTTAATGATGGCTGGGCCGCTGGCGCCGCCCGAGACACACGCACTCATTGCCAGTGTGGAGCGGCAGCTCGCTGAAGACGCTCAGGAGGATGAATTATCCGTACGTTGTTTCACTATCGTTAATGCTCAGATTTATGCTGGTTGAAGCAATGCTGATTATTGCGTTTTCGGTGGTCTTCTTGCTAAACACATTGTGTCTCGCGTTATTATCCAAGCAGGAATCACGTCACTTCAAGGTACGGAGGTTCAACTTTCCTATCTAGGCTTAGAATCCTGGGCTTATGCTGGTCTTGTGAATGTAGAGGCCGCGGTTGGAGAACGAGGGATTACTGCACCATGGTGGCGAGGTGAAGGAACCAACGCTGAAGTTCCCTGTGCGACGACTGAAGATGCCGACACTGGAGGAATTTCGACGCACTGTGGTGCTACAAAAGTGCGATTATGTTGGTGCTGATGCTGGTGAAGAAGATTTTAACTGACGTGTTCGTTTTGTGTGGCAATCAGCGAGCCGGTGATTATTACTGAAGCGATGGAGTTCTGGCCAGCGCTAGGGCGAGCAGCAGGACCGGAGAGAGCGTGGAAGAATGTGAAGTATCTGCGCCGAGTCGCCGGGCTCCGAACGGTACCGGTTGAGGTGAGGCCATGAAGGATATCTGGTCTTGATTACCGTGCACTGCGGCTAAGGGGTTTTGTGTACGTTTGTCGGTTAGATTGGCTCGAGCTACTTGGGAAATGACTGGGGGCAACAACTCATGACCTTGAACGAGTTCCTGGACCGGCATATTCTCCCACCGCTAGATAAAGAGAACGATCACCCTGTCTCACCTAGAAAGTTGGGATACTTGGCACAACACCGCCTTTTTGACCAGGTACGTGGCTGTGACCTTGAGATTTGGATTCGTAGACGATATTGAAGTTTGCTTCGTAAACAGATCCCAGCACTGGGGCGCGACATCATGACTCCAGACTACTGCACGGTGCAGCGTGATGAAGACGTTGACGATGACGAGGACATTACGACCAACTGTTGGTTCGGTCCCGGGGGAACGGTGTCGCCGCTTCATTTCGATCCGAAAGACAACGTCCTCTGCCAGGTCGTAGGTGCCAAATATCTCCGTTTATACGCGCCGGACGAAAACGAAAAGCTCTACCCAATTGAAGGTATGCTGTCGAACACGAGTTTGGTACAAGTGGAAGACCCAGACGACGAGCAGTTCCCTGAATTCCGGAATGCGAAGTACGTCGAGTGCGTCCTACACGAGGGCGAGATGCTTTACATCCCTCCCAAATACTGGCACTATGTTAAATCTCTCTCCACCAGCTTCTCCGTAAGTTTCTGGTGGTCATAGCACGATTTAGAATTCTTGATTAGGAAATCTAGACTCTTTGGATCTCGGCGGCTTTTCAAGAATTATTCAAATCTGCATTCGAAGCGACGGTCTCCAAAGTATTGAGCAAGCATGGTGGGGCTATCGTTGTCACAAGCGGAGCTACTCAAAGTGGGGCCTATAGCGAGCCACCACTCGTTGCGGCTGCTACCAGTTAGCAAGAAGAAGAAAAAGGTTTACGGTTTGAACGCTGACTGCATTATCTTGAGCTCACGCTTACTGACGGCAAGTATGCTTGTAAATTCAGCAAAAATTCGTCATTGGCGACGAGTATGGCGTCGTGTCGAGCTACCAGATGAAGAAAGGAGAGCCGCAAAATGTGTACAAGTCGGTGACACTTGCAGGTCCCGTGGCGTGTGTCACTATGGGAACTAACAAAGGTACCGAGGACAAGGCGTTCGTCGCCACGGGACAACATGTCCACGGTCTGAGCAAGAAAGGCAAGGAATTCTTTAAGTTCCAGAGCAATCTGGCCGAACCAATGCGGAAGATCCACGCCTATGACAGTCAACTCTGGACAACTACAGACTTCACCTTCAACCAGTACGATAACGGAGCAGACAAGCATTCGTACGTTAGTCCAGATCGCATCAACGACGCCATTGTGGTGCCTATCAATCATGAGCAGGACTTCTACGGAGTCCTTGGGTGTCAAGACCGCTATATTCGCGTTGTCAAAGACTCCAAGTCGGTGTCAAAGAAGGCAATGGCTGCTCCAGTTACAGCACTGTGTCGAGTTCCACCGACGACCGGCAAGGGTGCAGCCTCGTCGGGTCCTGCTCACATCCTCTATGGCACAGCAGCTGGAGGTCTTGGTCTCATCAGCTACAATGGAGACAAGCTCAAGAACAAATGGAAGACTTCATCCCAGACTGCCTTGCCCTCCAGTACCAGCAATGATTCTGGTACCCATGCAGACGGTGGCTTGCCTCAGTCCACAGCTACTATCAACTCCATCACATGCTTCGATATCAATCGGGATGATCACCCAGAGATCCTCGTAGGTCGAGATGATGGTCGTGTTGAGGTCTACTCGTTTAATTCCAACTCGGGCGACGTGGTGAAGCTGTTTGAACACGCCAACAGCGACAGTATCCGCTGTGTTCAAGGTGGAATCGTGGCCACTCCTGGATTCGAGGAACTCGTAGCGACGACCTTCTCCGGTCGCGTGCTGAGCTTCACTACAGAACCGCTGGATCAGCCCGACGACGACGACACGTACGGTAGATCACGCGGAACTGTGCAGCGAGAGACTCGTATCGTCAAGTTACGCAAGGAAGTAGCTGCTCTGGAGGACAAGATCGCGCGATTGAGTCTGCAGCGAGGCGCCAGGGACAAGGAATACCTCCCAGTGGCTGAAGATTTGGTGGTGAACAGCAAGTTCCAACTGAACGCAGCGTTGGCAGCCTATGACGTGTCGCTTGAAATCCCAGTGAGTATCCAAATGATCGTGCTGCACTCAGCTGTACCATTGGATCTTCTTGAGAACGAGACCAACCTCGCCATTGTCAGCAAGTCTCCGGTCGACCCAGCGAATGGTACACACTTCTTGGCTACGTATCGATGTCTGGAGCCCACCCACCGACTGGAGTTCCAAGTGCGTACTATCGAAGGCCAGTTTGGTCACGTGGAGGCTACAGTGGTGGCAAACACGCAGCCTCGGTCGGCGCAGACTATCAAGTTTTACGTCAAGCCACTGTCACTGCATCATCGCGTCAACGAACTCACGGAGGCTGAAGAAGCTGAGCTGCACAAGCCGTGCAATACGCTGCAACTGAGCGGTGACTTCTCTCTCGTACAGATCCATGACTGGGTATCCATGTGTCTACCTGAGGTCCCGGGTCGTCTGCAGACGGAGGACGTGACGCTGCGCTATCGAAACACATTCCTTGGGAGCTTGCTGGTATGTCGATACAGTAAGGGGGAGGCCAGCTTCTCGACGCCTTCCGTGTCGGTCATAGCGATTCTGAAGGAGATCATCACCAAGGAAGCCACGGCGCGCAAAACCACGCTCAACATCTCGCTGGATATTAAGAAGGAGAGTGTGCCGGTTATGCTGGGCTACTTACGTCCTCTGCTGGATGCCAAACACGCGTTAGCCTCCCAAGTCAAGCTTATCGATGGCCTCAAGGAGCTGCAGCTGCACGAGGAGGATTACACGGCCTGGATGGCGCCGGAGTACCAGCATATCCTCGAGAACTCGGAGAAAATCTTGGCAGAGTTCAAGCTCAGCCCCAAGGCGCTCAACTATCTTGCTGGTATCCTGACTGATCTCTACGTCGACCTGTGCAAGTTCCGCGGCACCAGTGCCAAACAGAATTTGCCACGGCTTTACCAGCTCATCGAGCACTACCACTTCGACACGCTTGTCGAATTTTATATGCGAGAGTAGATTGTGAAGCGAGAATGGTGGATTAATACAACAATGCAAATGCTGCACGTTCACCAAGCGCTTTTGTTAAATGCAGTGCGGCGGTCACTTTGGAATTTATCCATCACTCCTATCCGACAACTGCTATCCGACAACTGCAGTCTAAATGTCCGCTATCTTTTCTGTCGCGACAGCGTCGAACCATGGAAGCAGTAGTTGTAGACAAATTCACAGTCCCGGAAGTGTGGAGATTTCTTTCCAAAACTTCAATGTCTTGGTGCTGATGAAGGTGACGACAGCCAGCCAATTCGCGCGATAAATAACGTGAAACAGTCCATGAATCGTGAGCTTCTTCATGATGCTACGGCATTCATGCAGGAAACATTGCGCGGTGAGTCCCACCACTTGGTAGGCGACGTGGGTCAAATGACAACCATATTGCGATACCGAACTGACCCTTAAAAAAACCGTTACGAGTTCGCAACCGAGTCTGTAATTCAGCCAACGCAAGTCATCGAATGTCTGGGTCCGCAACAGTGCCAACACGCTCTTCGTGTGGCAATGGATTTTTATAAGCGCATACGTTCTGACACCGCCTTCGGCAGGATTGATAAAATCAAGTCTCCATGTGCAATTTGACCATCACTCCTGAAAAGACAACTTGACCCGGGCTCTCGAGACTTCTCTCATTGAGAGAGGTGGGTACCAAACACACAGCTGAGACCGTGAGGATGCTTTTGCCATGGTGCTTGTGAGAGAAGCGTGGAAGGATCATATTTTGTAGCGGAGCATGACCTCTTTTTCTCGAGCTTGTCTCTCCCTTAATGTGCAAAAAAGATAGCGAGGACCTGTGTATCACGATAATGTCCCGAAATGGTTTACCGGTACCGATATTCTGATTCAAAAAAGGAAATAAATTCCTCATCTCAAACACATTCCATTGATAAGCGGTAGCCCCAAATTTGCTTTCGTAAATGCACGCGAACCGAAACGAATAATATCAAACGATGTTCAATTTGAAGCTGCAACTGCAAACTAATTTGCGCGCATTCACCATTCAGACGGTAAAAACACCCGCCAATTAGCTCTTCCAACTGAGGAACTCATGCCGAGATCCACAAAAGTATCTATAGCTAAATTCGTATGGAGCTCGGAAGAAAACACATGCTCAAAATCCTCCTGGACTAGTCACTTCAAGTACACGAGAAAGTTGCTGCTCTTTTCGACCTGCGGGGAAGGTCTACCCACTACGATACGATGAATGCTCAAATCTCTCTTATGTTGTTGCACTTGTCATACATTGTTGCATTCACTTAAATCATGTTGTGGAGGTTCGACGACGGCTTTAAACCTTCCCCTAAGGGCGGACACTCCGGACTTCAAAAAGACACATACCGGTAGCACCGATGCTATTGACGTTGTGGGGTGGCAGCCCGATTGATATGGGTTTGTCGGGTCGAAACCATCCCATTCCCCAACAGAGCGAGCACGCGAGAAGCCTCCTCTTCTAAAGCCTTCTTCTCTCACGCTCCACAATGGAGACGCGGTCCTCTCCGTCCATGCAGGAGCTGCGCGCTATCGCCCACGAGCGGGGCCTCAAGTACTACATGCACCTGTCCAAGCCCGAGCTCTTCTCGCTGCTGCAGCGCAAAGAAGGCGGAGGCTCGGCCACCAAGCCCGCACCCCCAGCGGACGCCACCAAAGAGGACGTTATGCGCCGCGTTGAGCGCACACCGACAGCCACAGCCACAGCAACACGGACCAGCGAGCGCCTGTCGTCCCGCAAGAAGAAGCGCAAGACGCGCGAGAGCGACAAGACCAAGTCTCCGCGTGACAACAAGAAGGCCAAGATGGTCATCAACACGCTCGACCCCATCATGCTCACGGAGCTGGGCCCACACACGGTGCGTATTGCAGAAGGAGATTGATCACAATGAGCTGAGAAATACTGACTCGATTATTTTGGGGGGTATTCTCACGTGCAGTTTGAATTCACGCGGAGGAACGGATCCGTGGTGGTATACAACGTGGAGTCGCTCGTGCAGTACATCCTCGCCACAGGGGATTTCTCCGAGCCGGAGACGCGGATCCCGTTCTCGGACGAGGACTTGCGCCGAATCGATGTTGAGGTATCTCATCGACCTTGTGCTCCTCTAATCAGATGAGGAGATGATTAAAAATCATCTTGATTCCTTGCTAGGCAAGCAAGGCTAAGATTAAAGAGAACAGTGTCGTGGACGCCAAGAAGAATAAGCACAAGTTTGAAGAGCAGAAAATCAAACGCGACGGTATCCTGGGTGGGTGGAGAACCGGTAGTTCATATTCTAGATAAATATTTTACTGACGATCTTGCTCCCGTGTCTACCGCAACAGGGTTGGAGCGGTGTGCGTCTGACTACGTGAACAAGATGCTGGAGATCGTAGAAAGCGACGACCCCGAGGGAGGTGAGATGCTGCTCATCATGAGCGTCTTCCCGTCGTTTTCGGACATTTTTGAGCAAATCCGACGGAGCGACACGGAGTACGCCAAGCACAGCATGGGCCACTTCATCCAGTACGTGAAGGGACCCAAGAACCGCCCTACCGTGGACAACAGCGGTTTGATGCAGGTCATTTTGGGATTTTTGGAGGACGTCGCCAAGGGCGAGCAAGGTGCGAGTGCCTTTGGGTTTTGAAACTGCAGCGTCTTGTCGCCTGCGTCTACATCACCACCCGTTGTTTACCGGGTCCGTTGCAGTCGGCGTCCCAATGGAGTTCCTTGTACTATTAGTTATGCGTAAGTAGGGTAGTCGTAGGTAGACAGGTAAGCAAGCAGTAGGATATAGCAGGAAGTAGTTAGGCGAGAAGGAATAGCTTCATGTTCCCCATTTTCAAGTTTCATCCGCAAATCACGTCGCTTCTTCATGCACGTTCTCAGAATTGCCCCACGCCGCCCACTTGTCACCACGCCACCTCGACAATCTTGAGCATAAAGCACAGCCGACAGCGAAGCGACACGGTTGGAGATATGATCACCAAAGTCAGTCTCGGTGTTGCCACAGGAATCAGATCACGTATGTGCACCACATCATTTTCGTACTTATACGGAAGTCCTGAAGCCACTTCAATTCCGCGCGCAGTAACCTTCACTCTTGAAACCGCTAGCAACTTGAAACCGCTAGCAACCCGCATCGCATGCTGGCGACGTCTTGAGATCGGGGAGTGAGGCAGGACACAAGTGACATCGCAGTTATGGACAACACACAGGAGAAGGATCTGCCCAGACCCATGAGGGTACCAAATACGCCGCCAGTTCTTACCAAGAGGCCTCCAACGCTACGACAGCAGCCGCGCGCAGTTTCCGTGCGAGCACCAAAGTCCCGTCCTATGAGTGGGACACTGCAGATTCGCGTAGAAGAACAGGAACAGGAACAGGTTCAGAGCCAAAGGAACGGACACATACAGGAACAGAAAGAGGAGGAGGTTGCTCCTGCCTCGCCACCAGCAGTACCCACGACGTTGAGGCAAAAAGATCGTTCGGGGTCGATTAATTCCGCGAGACCGCGGCCGTTTGGAGGGAAGTTGAGGATCGACGTCGACGCGGCGGAAATGGTGGCGCCACCGATCATTGGATCGCCGCTGAGCTACTACACGTCCAAGAAACTACCGTCTAACACTCATGAAGATCATCCCGTGTCGATGTTTACAGGTGCCGAGAGTAATACTGGCAGTGGACTGCTGTCTACTGCGTCACCATTCTTGGAGTATGGTATGATTGTGAGCCTTGTGTGTGATGACAGAGGTGGGCTTGTGGCGGCGGAGGGATTTGCTTCACGTGATGTGAGACTGGAGAGGTTGAATTACGGCGTGGGAGGCCCAGTAGCGAGACTTGGACTTGGTGGGAAGGAGGAACGCCGATTGTTTGCCGAAGGAGGCTTTCGATTGTTATCGTGTCCTTTTCGCGACTGCTTGTTTGAGGTAGTACCCAAGATGACTTATGACGCGACTATCGCGTTGAGGTCATTGCTAGACGATACGACGAGACAGCCCAACAATCAGCATACAGTAGACAACTTGCGATTCAAAAGTGAAGCTGAAACTCGATTGAATGCGATGATGTACAAGAAATTGAAAGGAACACAGGTGATTTATGGACAGGTGGGAAGTGCGGCAATACTGGAAAAAATGTTCCATCGTGGTGCTAATGGCGTATTGGTGTGTGTATGTTGCAGACTATTCAGCTTAGACATACGAAGAGCGGCAAGTATGTGTCATTAGACCCTTCACCAATTCCTTTTCGCGGGTCGGAATACGCTCCGGTACGCACGTCGCACTAGCTTTTGTATAGTCGACTGATCTCTAACCGTGGTTCCAGGTATTTCTGGACGCTGGGGGACCCAGCTCTCATTTCAACGTACTGCCTAGGTTTAAGTTGCGATCAAAAGGTGCCCCTGTTCAACTCACAGACCAAGTATGTACAGTCTACGGCCTATTTAGTATTTCTTTGTTTAAGCGAGATTGTGCTATTGCTTTGTTAGATGATATTGACAGGTGGAACGGAATCTCAGCCGTATAATTTATTTGTTTCGAATCGAAAAACAACTGATGGAGTATCGACTGCGGTAGTTGGATCGAGTGTGCACTCGTCACAATGGAGAGCTGTTTACTATGACAACCTTGACGGCGAGAGCTTTACAACCAGTGGTGAAGTGCGTTTGCCAGCCAGAAACGACGAGGGACTCCGCGCTGGGTCGTGTATCCGATTACTTCATTTAGAATCCAGTTCGTGGCTTGGGTTTCACGGATCTGATGCTCGAGATGCTCTTGGTGGCCCAGTCACACTCCACTTCAGTGATGAAGGCGATCAAGAGGATGGCGCTAAAAAGGCTCTTTCTTCCGATTGCTTATGGGAAATCGAGCATGTTTTCGCATATGAAGGAGGTCAGATCAAATGGAGGGAGGCGATAACTCTTCGTCACCTGATAACTGGGAAGTATTTAGCAGTGACTCATTCACAATCTCCTCGAGCTACTACTCGACCTGGTCCAACCACGCGACAGACATCCCACATATGTGCCCAGACATTTGCGCAAGACCAGCCACAACTTTTCCGCTTCGTTCCTACTGCTGTTGCAGATGAAGAGTACGTTGAATTTTCAATTTTATCGGACTGCCATGTGCGCATAGTAAGCTCAGTGTTACCCGTGTGTTATCCTCCAGATCTCAAATTGAAAACGGAGAAGTGGTGCTGATCCAGCACCAGAAGACGAACAGCTTTTTACACTCAATTGATACGCACGCCTCAACAATGGCAGATATTCGGCTATCTTCCAAACCGCTAGCACACAATTTAAGTGCCAGTAAAAGTGGTGCTGGCTCGGGTGAAACTTCATTTACTGTCGTGACGCTTCATGGAGCCCGAGATGAAGATGCCTTCAAGGTTATCAGAGTCCCACAAACTGAAGTCACGGACACCTTATTATTGATATCCTACAAGCAGGCTCTGAACCAGTTCTTGGACCAATTTCGTATGGATTTCCTTACTGGCGACCGATCTAGTCTTCGTTTTGAAAGAGAAAGCACGGTTGGGGTTTTTAGGAGGATTGAAAATGTGCTTGGCGAGCTAGTTAGATTTTGTGTCAAAGCCGACGAAGATTTTTTTGATCAGCTTCGATGCCGCCAGAATCTCTTCCGTACCTACCAGTACATCGAGCTGCTGGTTGCAATGATCAAGGCTCCGTTTCAATGTTACAGTGGACCATTTTCGATTGAAGAAGTCTGTTCCTTCAACGACGAGTACATGAATTCAAGAGACACAGGCGACGACAATGATGAGCTCGAAATGAAAGGATCCCCCGTTCGATTAAGGACGGACTCATCCACTGCTTTCCGGTTTAGTGGTGGATCATCTAACAGCAGGGATTTGGTTTCTCCAAGGCGTTCTATATCGACTCAAGACAATTCTTGGCGACGTAAAAGTTCGTCGGGGGTGTCAATATCTCGACTAGAAATTCACATCGCGGCGATGCAGAGTCTTAACCGTATCATCCCCGCGATTAATGTTTTGCTACTTCACATTTCATGGGCGAATCGTACGAACGAACTCTACGTGGTCAAAGTTGCCATGCCTGTGTTGATGGAATTACTCGGGAATGGATTCCAGACGTCGTTGCCGCTATCTTATCTACTTCGTGAAAACCGAAACTTGGTGGAATCAATCACTGGTTGTGCAAGCATTATCAGGAACTTTTTCGAGCTGATTGCCACTCGAGGAAAATCAATTCGGTACATGCAATTTCTAGTCGCTTTGTGTACATCGAGAGGGAAAGGCGTACCAAAAACTCAGGAAGCGATTTGCGAATTACTTTTCAACCCGGCAAATGGATACCGAGATGATGTTATCATCCCTATTCGACCATCCAGAACTGGATTTGATGTCTGTACGTCCAACCACGTGACCTCTGACATCAACCAGGATATTGAGGTTATGTTCAATCGATCAGCAAAGACGAGCGAAGCGGGTTCAAGCACCGGGACGTGGATCTCACTTACCAAGTTTTATGAAGAATACTATGCGAAAGCAAAGCACCGGGCGCTCGGACAATACTGCTACGGACTCTTTCGGCTTTACGTTTCGCTGTGCTTGGATCGAAATTACATCAGTATCGAGTACATCCAGACGGCGTTTCCCCGAGATAATATCCTTTACTCGGTGATGGATCCCCATTTGTCGCGCTCGTTACGGTCTGTGATGATGGACTTACTGCGGGTAGCTTATGTCGATTGTGAGCCCCAAAAGTCCATGTCTTGTCCAAACTACACTCGCATTTGGACGGATATTGGCGCTAGTGCAGCAAAAGCTCTCCCTAGCTCATCGTACACGGGATATTCTCCCGAAGATCTCGCGTTTTTCACTTCTTTAAAGAACTTCTCTTTTTCCTACCTTGATCATTTACAAGGAACTATTGTGATCGACGAGATTCCTGAAAACGAACTGACACTCGCTATCTTACGCGTTTCCCGCAAATTAGCCGAGTTTGGGATGTATTCTTCCGAGGACGAACTGTCGCGCGTTGTGGTTCTGCTATTTGATCTCCTCGATGAACGTACAGATTTTGTGCACGAGCATCCAGACAGTAATGGCATACACAACCCAGATATCAAGAATGTGAAAGCATACACCTCGTCAACATCTCTATTTTTCCCGCCTGTGCTCCATCTGCGGCAAAAGTCTACCGCAAGTAATGTCCAAGCGCCTCAACAGCGAAAAATGTCTTTAGTCAGTGATCGTCGACCGGGTTGGGGTGCTCAACCCTCACCACATTTGAAAAATGCAGTACTTTTCGATGGAGCAGGCGCCATGTCCAGTATCCGCGTCACCAAAGAGCGTGATGCCACGAAACAGTACAAAACTGTTGATAGAAACTTGTCGCGTTCTTCAAGTGGTATCAACAGCGTTGCCGGGACAAATACTGACAGCAACCCTCATCGTCACTTGAATAAGTTACTTATGCACAAAACTGACGTGCGCACGGCCGACGGTATTAACGTGTATGAAATGAACGAAGTGAACCGCACCGTAATGGAGATCAAGGACGAAATCTGCGCAATTTTTCTCCTCGTTGACCAAGTCCGCGTTGATTTTCTCATCTCGACACTACTGGCTTCCTTTCAGGCTCGGCATGGCGGCCCTCCGTCAAGTTCACCAACACGACATCGCGATCCGGATGCCATTCACACAGCTCTTTTCGATGATGCCATAGTGCGTGAAACTGTGTCGAATGCGTTTACTGGACACTCGCGTGGACTAGATATCCTACCTCACGGACACACCCATGTTGATAAAATGTCACCGCTTGCAGTCTATCTCTTCGGCGCGAAGTCGTTGGAGTGCAAGTTATCGCTTACTAGATTGGGCAGGAGAGTTGTGACGACAATTTTCATGCAAATGCTCATGTACGAGTATCCCCCACTGGTGTCCAAGGCTTTGGAATTGCTACTGCAGCAGTATAATCAGCACGACCAGTTCTTGAAGGAGATGCAAAATGTCCAGTTGCTCGTATCTGAAGAGACAATATCAATCTACAGTAAATTGAAAGGTGACGTTGACGAGCTTCGGCGATTAGCTGAAACTACAGAAGTGTGGATGGATTTGACGTCTCGCTCAGATTTTGAGAAAGCATCCTCGGTTTGCCAACTCCTGCAATCATTGCTGAGAGTTATTGAGCACACCACACCGGACACGCAAGTTGCGGGTGTGGAGACGAGACCAGGCGGGGCACGCCGTCAGCTTCGAATACATTCACCGGGCAAGTCGATAAGTGACGACAAGTCCAGTGACGACGATGTTAATTCTGCTGCGGATCTTCTTTCGACAAATTCGAAATGTACTCCAAAGCAAGTGTCCATATCGGATGAACGTATACGCGAGCCTACACATGATCTCACTATCGAAAAGCAGCCTCCAAACCGGAAGCTGAAATACCAAACTGATCGATATGTCCTCAATCCAGCAATTGGTCGCGTGAGCCAGTTTTCTTGCAGCCACGACCTTGTTCCTCCCTTGTGGAAAACCAGTCCGATTGGTAAAGGTGACGCCTCGACGACAACAGGGGACACTAAGGATGGCTGTACGATCGCAATGGAAGCGCGACGACTTTTGCGGAATTTGAGAGCTGCTCAATTTGTGCTCAGCATGCTGATCGATGGAGCACACTTTTACGAGGGGCATTTCTCTGATGACAGTCACGATAAGCGGCATTCACCGGGATCCCCTACCACTCGGTCTAGGACGAAGCTACATAAACGACAGCGAGACCAAATTCGAGGCGTTTTTGGACAAGCTATGCAGTTTTTGCGTGCTTTTTGTATGGATGACGCTGAGAACCAAGCTTTGGTTGCACCGCATGCCACAATGATCGCAGAATATGTTCGTGAGCTTCCAATTGCACAGGAACTCTTGGTGGTGATTTATGTGGACAACTTTTCTCTATACAAATCGGTTCCGACAGAGTTGATCAACATTTTCGTGGGCCGCTTGATTCACGACGGCCCCGATCCTCGATATCTCTTTTTTCTGGAGACACTTGTGCTTTGTGATGAACAACCTATTGTGGAGAACCAGCTACTTGTACTCTTCCAGTTGGTCAAGAGCTTCGAAAACGCGAAAGTTTTGCAGATGTTTGATGATGCGACGCAGACCGTTGGGCTGCTTGGTGGCTTGCTTAGTAGGCACACCAACTTATTACAGGGAACGGTGAACACGAACAGGAATCTCCAGCAACAGGAACTAAATTCTGTTGACCTTGATGGATCACGTATGCCTCAAACAAACCTACCCGACGATTTGGCAGATACTGGTAAGATGCTTGAGTATCATGTTCGACTTCTGAACCTTTTTGCTGCCTGCGGCACCGGCAAAAATACCAGAGTGCAGGAAATATGTCAGCAAATTCTGCCGCTTGTGAGTGTGCTTGATCTTTTGTGCCATGATGACTGCACTGAAGGACTTCAGTTTGCTTTACTACGGTTTTTGGATCAAATCTTCTTGACAGCAGATGATATCGAAACTCCTGGTGTTGATGATCTCCAGCATATCATGGTGGTTTTGACTCAAATCTGCGAGAGGCGAGTCATCCAGTACTTGTCCTATATTCAAGTGAAAGATTTGAATCGCCAGGCTACGTTGTCACTCCAGAAAAATAAGTCAATGGCCGGGAAAGTGATCGGACTATCGGCACAAAAGCCATTGGAGTCGGCTCCCTTATACCTGGTTCTCTTTTCCATCATTCCGACTATGTACTCATTTATTCAGCAATTCTCGAGTTTTGTGGACACCAATGAAGAAGCGCAGTACTACCTGATTCAATTCAACAGTTATGTTGCGTTGTTGCTGATGATATGCGCGACGAGCAATTGGCAGCTTCCTGATGATGTTGTCAGCAATATGGAGGAGTTCATCTACGTGATCGATAAGTCCGTTCGTCCCATCATGTTGCAATACCAACTTCCAATGCAGACATCACTGGAGCAGGCATGGTCAATGTCTCTGAAGTACCGAGAACGGTTAGACTGCTCATCGCTGAATTGCGAGCTAGAACTGCCTGATATGCTGCAATGGGCAATTGATATGCGTGATCAAGAGATCAAAACGGACACATTCATTGATGAATCGAAGCCATCCAGTTTGCCTGAGGCCTCCCCAAGTGACACTAAAGACGTCAGTCCTCTGGTCCAAGCTGTTCGGGATGGCATTTCAAATGGGAGCAGTGTAAACGGCTTCGATGCCCGAACAAAGACTGCCACTTTTAAATTGGATAACCTAAGTATGAATAAGCCGATCGCTTGGGGGGATTCAGGATCTAAACAACCGAATCAAGAAAACAAAGAATCTTCAGCAGGCAGGGCTGAGAACACGTTCGAGGCTGTCGAAACAAAAAATCGGGGAAGACTCCTCCACAGACTCTCACCGAGACGCTACTACAAAGGATTGCGATACAGAAGTGCATTGTCGTATTTGAGTCCGAAGAAGGAGACCCCTGTTACTCCATTTTCTTCTCCTGCTGAACGTCGAGTGTCCGACGCGTTTGTCATGCTGAACAGTCTCTATCAATCCGACCCAATGAATTATCTTTTTCGTCAGCAGCAGCAGCAGTTTAGTGAGCTCGACCAACTCCTGGCGTGGCTGCAAGCTCATCCCAGAGTTCACGGGGCAATGAGAGATGAGCTTAATCAAATGGTGCAAGGGATTCTGGGCATTGAGACGTCGATGAGAGAGGAATACAATCCTCACGTCCACGTTAGAAACGTGGTGCTGTCGTTCGATCTAGTGGTAGCCAAGCTTGTTGAAAACGTGGCAGTCTTACAAGATCCAAGTTATTTCAAGACCAATCTAACGTTGCTGAACGTTTTTTGCCGAATGATTTACGCTGTCGAAGATGCGGACGAACGCCACAATATGCAAGTGAAGCTGAATCAACTGGGCGTCACTCGACTGGTGGTGCAATTGATCTCGTCACGAGATAATGACGCACTGTTTACGAGCAGTATTGAAGTGGGTGTTGCTCTCTTGGATGGTATGAATGCGGAAGTGCAGGAGAGTTTCTATAGTTATTGGAGTGAACCGACCAATGAGCAATTCTTCGGCAGCATCCAAGGTCGAATTGAAAAAGCATGCAGACTAATCCACAGCGTTGATCGAACTAGTGTCGGTGTGCTGGATGCCTTGGATAGTCCTGGAAATGTTGGAGACAAGAAATCACACCGGCGTCAATCCATATTTGGTCTCAACCTGGATAATCTTTCAGGTGACAAACCATCGTCAGCGGAGAGAGGAGGAGCAAAGCGATTGGGTGAACCTATCACCTCTATTTTCCGCTTCCTCCAGCTTCTTTGCGAAGGACACTACCTCAATGCCCAGCGTGCTCTCATCGCACAACCAAACGCCACCGTCTCTGCTAATTTGGTAGAGTCCACGACTTCTTTTCTACTGGATACGTACCTGGCCCTCACAGATTTGGATATGGGCCTTATTACACAACTATTTGAAACAATTACAGAGTATTGCCAAGGCCCTTGCGTTGCGGCTCAGGAGACCGTGGCCAACTACAAGTTTATCAGTGCTGTTAATGCACTTTTGACTCACACGTTTGAACAGCGCGACACACGAGCGCAAGATGCAGTGCATAAATTGCGTGCTGCTATCGTGATCACTCTGTTGAGTCTCCTAGAAGGCCGAAGTGATCATGTGATACATTCCCAGCTTGTACAGGAACTCAATTTCGAGGCACTGAAGATGAATTTAGTGGAAGTGTACGTGTATTTCCTCCGCACTCATGGGACATATGCTGGTAACGTCAACTGCAGCCAAGATTTCTACCTTATTATGGGTTTCAACATCTACATCTTGCTCCAACAGCTAGCTGACCAGAATACACATCAAGCGTGGTGGATTCCTGCTTCCGAAGAACTACAAATCAATCAAGCGTGGCTACCACTGCAACCGACGCGAAATAAGGTACTATCAGCCTGTAATAGTGATGCAGATAGATCGCCGGATTTTCGTGATGCATTTCGCTTCTTCCAGTCAAATTGTGCGAAGGTTGAGGTTGTGTGGGATCATCATCGATCTCCAACGCAGTGTACCTCTGAGCGCACAGCAAGAGGTAACAACCAAGGTGTGTCGAAGGCAGATAGTTTCAGTGGCTTCAGTGGAAGTGTGGTGAACGCTCCATCTGCCGATTCGGATGATGTCAGTACGAGCTGCACGGGGGCACTCATGCCGTTTTACTTTCCGATCCACCCGATCTGTTTTTGCCTCACTGCGAAGTCCAAGGAGAAGCTTGTGTGGGACGTATCCAGAGGAGGTGACAAGCTTTCAGACTTCTACATACGCTCTGATAAACTGGTGGACGAGATGACTCATCAGAGTTATCTACAGCACCATGTCCAAGTGGCATGGATAGCCAGGAAGTCTGAGGAGATGAAGCGTGTGTCGTTTACTCTAGCAGTGATCATCAATCTGGTTGTGCTCTTGTTTTACCGAGCTACCGGCGTTTATTCACGACCATTTCCGGCGAGCGATGTGACTTTCGTTCACACCTGGGGAAAAGAGGTTGAACCTCCGAAGCCATCGCTGTGGATTGATGTTGCGCTTTCATTGGCCGGTACAGTGCAGATAATCTTGTACAGCATGGTATTGATATGCTACATGCTCAACTCGGCACCGTTGCTAATCAAGAAGGGATGGAAACGGCGGCATCGGAAGGAGCAGGCCAAGCATGCTAAGCGCTCTGTGCATAGCTCACAGCACAGAGCTACTGAAGGAAAGCGCGAGTCATTCCAGGATACAGAGCAATTGTTGCGGTCTTTGCGTGAACGTGAAGAAGAGTACAACTACCTGTTTCTCCCGCCTTCTATCAGAAAGCGATCCGCTCCGAAAAAGCGGGAACCGATCTCTCCTCGAGTCAAGGCATCGGTATCAGGTGTGGGGTCAGCGAAAACTAGTGGTTCGAGTGACCCTAAGAACGGGGTTGCAACCGCAAGAGGTGACTTTCGTGTCCAATTAGAAATTACGACTATCTCGCTGTACTTCCTTGTGCGAAGCCCTCGTGTGATTTACTCGCTGATGCAGATCTTCATCTCGGTTTTGGGCGCGTATGTTAACAAGCTTTACTTCGCGTTTCTGTTACTTGATGTGGTGGATCGTTACAAGGAACTCAACAACGTTTTGCGATCCATCTCGCGGCCAGCAAAGGCACTTGGCGTGACGACGCTGCTCTACTTGATCGTAGTGTACGTGTTCGCTGTTGTGGGTTTCTTCTTCTTCCGGGAAGATTACACTCAGGAGAAAGATATTACGAAAGCTCAGATAGCAGGACGAGCACCATACACATGCCAGCGGCTCTTCCAGTGCTTTCTAGTGAGTCTTGACCAAGGCTTAAAAAGCGACGGAGGACTGGGTAGCTACCTTCGACAGATCCCCTTGGGAACCTCAGCACATTCCTATGGTCGCTTGGCATTTGACGTGCTATACAACATTCTGCTCGTCGTCTTACTCCTCAATTTGATCTTCGGTGTTATCATCGACACATTCGCCTCCTTGCGCACAAACGACCAAGAAAAGATACTGGACATGCAGGGACGCTGTTTTATCTGCTCGATCGATGCGTACACGTTCGACCGCGCCACTAAGCGAGGCTTTCACGATCACATTTCACGAGACCACAATATGTGGCATTATCTGTACCTGTTCGTCCATATTCGCAAGAAGAATATCACGGATTACAATGGGCTGGAGCTGTTCCTCGCTATGCGCATGGCCAAGAAAGACATGTCGTTTTTCCCGACTCACAGAGCTTTATCACTAACGAAACGTGGAGATCTGGAAGAGAACCACGAGTTGGACTCAGCTACCGATGATGATCGCTTTTACGCTGCAAGCACAGCCTATGGACCCAAGCGGTATCCTGCCACACCATTTTCTCCTTCCCGAGGAGCATCTTTCGCCTCTGGGGCTCCGTCATCGCGTCGTGGGTCAGATCAGTCTCGAGCTCGAGCACGCAGTAAACGGAACAGCAGTGGCACAACTCGTTCGCGTTCTGTTGCATGTTTCGACTCAATTCCTGGAGTGCAACCATTTGATCGAGCTATTGCTGGGAATTTAGAGAGGATCGAGTCGACAATCAACGAGTTAGCAAACGCGCAGATTGAGATTAAAGAAGCCCAGCGACGAGCAGAAGATCGATACACAGAGATTCTGTCTACCATCTCAGGTTGGCAACAGCAACAGGCACCTTTGAGTCAGTTTCCGACGCCAACAACAAGTATGTCGGGAGTCTCGACCAGTGGTTCCCCACCAGCGTTGTCTCGCCATCCTTCTGTAAGAACGCAAGGCTCAGTTACTCCGCGCATTTTCACCTTCGAATCCGTGACGGACCACTTCGAAGCTCAGCAACCCACAGTCTCACCTCCATTGGAACTCAGTCCGACAGCGTCGAGCATATCGCGAACTTTGGATTCGCCTCACACTGTGAATATTGAGATTGAAACGAGTACAGTGGAAGAAAAAGAAGACAGACCCAGCTTTCTAGATGAAGGTCAAGACTGGTTTTCTGCTTCTCCAGAGCACCGCGGGCCAGCTCCGTCACCGCAAAATCCCTCGCGTACATCGTCTCTGACCTATCGCCTCCCGTCATCTTTAGACATGCAGAGTGACTATTCTCCAGATATGTCAACGCTACCTAGCCAGACTGATGAAAGTCCGCAGCTGAGGAAACCGCCGTCATCTCGAAAGCTTGGCGCGGCGACGCCACGCATTTTTAACTTTGAGTTCATTTCGGACGACGAGGAAGAATCCAAGGAAGGGAATCCGAGTCCGAGACCACGTAAACGGTAACAGTTGCGCGGTTAGAGTGAAATGTAGTCAGCTTGTCGCTTTTTTATCTATTCTGCTTGTTGCGTTCATGTCGATGTTGCAGCCTTACTCCGACACACTCGGGCCCGTGATGAACGAGTGCAGCGCAAACAGCACAAAGAGGATGCCGCCTACAAGTGTCACGGTTCTCTCCGAGATGCGTGTGGCCAGGAACTTGCCGCCCACGACGGCAATACCCGTGCACATCGAGTGGCCGAGAATCGCACCGAGTGTCACGCCGAACGCGTCCTTGGTGGCCGACAGCGTCACCGTCGCGATCTGAGAGCGGTCGCCCCATTCGGCCAGAAACGTCATGAGGAACGTCTGTGAGAAAACCTTAATCATACCGTCCGTCGTGTTCTCCAACTTGGCGTGGCCCTCCTCCACGTTTCTGCATCAAAATCGCAACGTCAGTCTTGCATCGGATACATAAATCTACCCATCAGCTCCGTACTCTGTGTCCTCGTCGTCTTTCTTGCCCATTAGTTCTTCCTCCACCTCGTTAAGCTCATCTGACGGGCCACTACAATCAGTACTCCAGTTAATTCATGCTTTCACTCAAGTTCCATCTCCAACATCTTACGCGGCGTTCATCTCCCTGGCGTCGTACAGCATCTTGACTCCAAACACCACAAACTACAACATGACTACCATCAGCTCTCTCACTCAATGAATATTACTCATACAGTCACTTTACTCACCAATACGCCGCCAAGGTAGTGCGTTAGACTCGGGGGCAGGAACTTGGTGGCCACCACTCCCATCACCACGGACAGCACCGTCATCACGATCAGAGCGCCGATAGCCCCCGCAAACACCACGACGCGGTCCTTCTTCATGCTCAGAATGGCTGCAATGAAGAACGTCTTGTCGCCGATCTCTGTGGCCCAAATGGTCAGGATGCCGCTTACGAACCCGGACCAAAACTTGTGCGGCCCGCCAGTGCGTAGCTTGGGTCGGGCGCCAGTGCCCCACCCAGCGGCGGCCGCGGCACCGGCATCGGCTGGGAAGGTCCCCAGGAATGGGCCAAGCACATTCTTAATTGAGTCCGTGAAGACCGCAAATTCGTGTTGGTCCACGACGCCGTTGTGGTCCGCGTCAGCGCGTGCGAAGGCTGTCGAGCGCATGGCCGAGTTGGCCACGGGGGCAGGCGTCACTGCCGCGTCAGCCTGCGCACCATGCTGCTGCTCCGCTGGCTGAGCAGCGACCAGGAACAGAAGCAGCGAGAAAGTCGCCACGAGCTGGAAGAGGCGCGGCATATTCAACAAGTTTGTATGCTCTGTGCCACGTAGAAGGAGGATTTCTTGAGTTGCTGCTTCATAGTTAAGTTGCGCCAACAGACAAAATCCGAAAGTTTCAGATTTGATAGATTTTAGAGCTACAGATTAACAATTTAAAAAAAACACAAATTCGAAAATTTGCTACAGCACGATCGTCATAAACGAGACTGAACAAGTAGAAAAATCGACGATTTGCTAGTAGATGACTGACCGACGAGCAAAATCTATCCTCGTAGCAAAAAAAGCGATTGGAGAGGTCATCCCTCCTCTCTCAACGACTGGCCTAGAGCTGATCAGCAACTCTCAATCATTTCCGAAGTCTCGAAGTGTCCAGACTGTTGGCAGAACGCGGATGGTTGTGTAACGGATCGGGTGGTCGTGTGGACCACAGTGTAGCAGGTCCAGATGATGATAGGATGCATGAGTGGCACGGGCCGTGTCAGTTGGACACAGGCCTCGCGCACGGCGACAACGGGGCGTGTGAGGGCGACGTACTCCCGCTCCTCCGACGGCAGCTCACCCGCCTCCTACTGATGAAGAAGATAAGGAGAGCGGTCGTGACACGTCTCTGGGCGTGCTTGCTAAAGCTGCTCGGCGACTGTCGTCTGATTGAGTACTCGGTGCTCGTCTCTTAACCTTCGTCTGCTCTGTGCCGATCTCTAGCGGGCACTCCCGATCATTCCTTTCTGGTAGTCGAAGTTTCACACGTTTCGTGTCTTCTTTCTTTAATCCATTTTTCCAAATCGCAACCACGTTCACGTAAATCATCAT